TCTAAATGTTGAAGTGGTGAGTGTTTGATTGGATAAATGTTAGCACTTTGCAAGTGCTTGCCTGGTGGTGTATGTATGTGTTTGTGTGTGTGTGTGCATGTGTGTGTGTGTGTGTGTGTGTGTGTGTGTGTGTGTGTGTGTGTGTGTGTGTGTGTGTGTGTGTGAATGAGAGGAAAATTCTAAACTGCTTTGGTGCCATATAAATGCACCATTCACTGCTTCTCACAACTTTTATGGCCAACTAAAATATGAAAAGTAACACACACATGAGTGTGTAATACTGTAGCTGTATCTACAGGTCAGTTTGGAAGAAAAAAAGACACTAAACAGAACAAAACAAATTCAGTAGACTGAATGGGAGAGTATTTTTGCTTTTAGTCAGTCTAGGTTATGTTAAAGCTGCACAAGAATGGGACTGTATCCCAGCATACATTAGAGAACTGGATACAGTGTATTTATTTAGAAATTACACAAAGAAATTGTTAATTAGCAGTCATCATTAAAAATCAATCATTCCTTGCATTATTCAGTTGCCTGTGCTGTTGATTCTACTTTGTGGCATTCACTGTGTGCCTCCATGCATGTCTTTCACTGTGGCTGGGTATTTATGTATGGGTAACTTTTTATGTCGGTGTACTGTAATTTGTTCCTCATAATGAAGCACAAAATTGTCTTACACAATGAACATTAATATTTCCAGTTTCATGTGTTGCATGTTTTAATTAGTGATGATAATGATGATGTTTCTGCTACCTCATGAATATTTCTACATATAATTTACTATATAAGTCAATAATCCTTTTATTATTCCTCTGCGTGAAAAATTATTTCAATAACTTTTAAAATGTCAATCATATATTCTATTTTAGGGTGACTATATCCAGAGGGTACAGATGAAAAATAGTCTTTTGGCCAGCTCTTGTACATTTACAGCTATGTTTATTAATGTGCAGTGTCCCTGCTAAATAAACCAGTAAATAAAGAAACAAAACCTTAAATGGTGTCTCCCTACCTTCAAATCAGTCTGAAAGGTAGACAAACAATGTAATAAGTCGCTGAAAACTTTATGTCTAAATTAACATTAACATTAGAGAGGAGAACATACAAGGAGTGGATGTAATGAGCACCATTACAGTGAAATGCATTTAAAATATTACATTACATTACATTAAATATGCAAAAATCTGCAGCCTTTCTGTTGCCAAAACAGAAATATTGTATTCAAGTCTTGGCCATCTAGATGTAATCATCTGACCTTCTTCACAAGTCCACACATAGGGATGCAAGCGCAAAGAAAGAGCGAGACAGAGGGAGAGAGGCATAAATTATCCACCAAGGGTAGAGCCCCTTTGTTGCTTAGCTTAACATCTGCCTGCTAAACTCCAAATGGCTCTCTCACTCTCATGGTTGGTTCCCTGGCCATCTGTGAATACAACTTTTCAAGGTATTTAATTATCACCTAGTGAGTAAGAATGGGTTACGATGCCTATGAAGGAAGCCCAGCATGACGTACGTACCAGCCCTTATGAAAAAAAAACCACTTAAAAGATGTATTTATCATCAGTGGTAATTAGGGCAAAGTTGTGTTACTCCATGGTTTCAAACCTGTCAAATGTGAAAACACTTTTAATGAGTACGCCAAATTATGAGTTAAGCCCAATAAATACGTGTCTACTTTTATAAATGTACTTCGACTGCACTTACAGCATAATAATGACTACTGAACTTGAATTTTAATGAGGAAAGATATGCAGTTTTTCTTTTAATTGAATGCCTTCCCAACTCCTGTTTCTGTTAAAAAAAACTGTACAGCTCAAAGACACCAATTTACTCAAATTATTTTATCTTTTATTTTGTTGCATATACAGTATGATGCTGCATTAGTGTCCACAAGTAAGTGTTGCATATTAATGTACAATTGAAACCATGTGACAGACAACACTCACCTACAGTATATTCCTATACTGTATGTCATGTTCTAGTTATACTGGTGAGAATATTTACCAACAATTAAAACTTCACCAAGATACATTGTATACAATACACACAACTGTCTCCAGTATACAAACCATTGTCTGAATACCACGTCTTACTTTTATGAGTGCGTTAGTCTGAACCTATGGACACATTTTAACAAAACACAGTCAGGGGTTGTAAATAATAGAGTGGACAGAGATAAAAGCTTTGTGGCAAAGGCTGCAAAGAAAATATGCTCCATCTCCTTCATGTGACTGTAGTATATACCAGCTCAGCTCTGTATTTCATTAGGCTTAATGGGCCACTCAGATTTTCTATAATGCATAATTTGACATTAAATAGAATTATTGTTTGTGTGCATGCATAGGAAGCCTATTAATCTGAGTGATTCTCATACAGACTCATATACAAATTGTGCTACTGTTGAATTTTTCATCCACCACATGGTTTGATGCCACATAAATGTAAAATACACCTGATTGGTATTAAGTAGTTGAATTGTTTTTGGTAAATTTGCCCCAAAAAAAACCTTTTGATGTCTTTAATGATTTTCAATAAATCTCTCTTTAAGTTTTAAGATTTGTTAGACTAAAACTAGCTCCAAACAGGTCAGGTCTAAGGACTTCTTGTGCTAGGATTGTAGGAATGAAGTGGGTGACTTTCAAGTTAGCTTCTACAGAAATTATTATTTTTTAAACTGCTGTAATGCTCATAATTTGGGTGATGTCAATAATGATCTCGCCTCTTTGTGTGGTTCTCTAAGCAAGAAGAACAAATTAAACAGCTCTCCCACCCACAACTTTCATTATTTATACACACACTGTGAAAATGTAACCAAGACAAGAAAAGTGCATAATTCAGTAGAACCCGAGTGTCTTCCTTGTCGCTAATATGCTTTTTGAAGCGGTACAACAAGAGTCTTTATGGAAGTGTAGCCATTGCTTTGGTTTAACATGTGACACACTTAGTATGCTGCTTTATACTCTAGCTAAGGGCTGCCACTCTGTTCAGACAGCTGATCTGGGTTCACCCTTGAGTGTAAGTGCATCTCACAGTCACTTAGACAACAAACCAGAATGGAGAGTGAAACAAATCAATAGTCAGTTAAAAGGTGTTGATTTTCTTCCATAATTTTCTATTTCAAAATTGGCCAATTAATGGGTCTCCGTAATGAATCTCTGAATCTCCAAGCATCATGTAATTCCTACTAAGAAACAGAAACAGAAACCTGTTTGTGGCAGGTTTTAAAAATCCTACAAATAAATGTACATTTTAATAATCAAAGTAAATTACTTTATTCTCACTCTTTTTGTGTGTTTTGGAAAGTATATAACATGCAGTACATTTGAAGTTCTCCTTCAGTCATCTCTATTAAGTGTGATTGTTATGCATGTGAGCACTTATTCAAACCTCTCCTCCCTCACATCTCTCCTTCGACTGTGTGGGTCAGATACTGTATGTAGGTTTGATACCCACGGGGAGAGCGGCTGCGGAAAAATAATATCGTAAGAATAAATAAAAAGTGAAAACATTGTTAATGTATGTCCCGAATGGCAAAAGAAAACAGTAAATCCACCTGAAATTATACTGAGAAACATCGTCCCGGGCTTCTCCAGTATTTTATTCATTCCTAAATATTTCTGGCTGCATTACATTCATCAGAGAAAACGGTGGACAGTGACTGCTTCAGTTCCACCATATGTCCTGCCAGATTTGTGTAAGATATTATTACAGAGGCATGTTGAAAAGGCCACTATTCCACTATCAATCTTCTTTTACCTGTCTAAAAATATAAATGGAGATCAAACTCAGTGGTTTACCCAAAACTTGTAGTTTGCACTTGGTCCCATTGCTGCCTCTCAATACCCAGGAAAAGTACCAGTTTAGGCTGATTAGCCTTTTTCATTACTCCGTCACCTCTCTACCCACCTACTGTACATCTTTTCTACTTTGAAATGCTGATGTTTCAAGTTTCTGAATGTTAATATAGAAAATCCCACCGCCATGAAACACCATGCTGCCTTAAAGATAGACAAAAGAAGGATGTTTTCAACATGGCAGTCCACTAACTCCAGTTGAACTGCTCACACAGTGCATAATGTAGCCTATCTATTGCCTCTTAATATGCCAGAATGTCGGTAGCAGCATACACTTGTATTACAAATGAACTGACACCTCTAAAAACATATACTGCACATATTAACAGTTGCACATTACACAGTATGTGATACTGCACTTTATCAACATTCATTGCACATTATATGTGGTAAACTGGCTAAAAGAATATGTATAATAATACCTAGAATTATTTTGAACACTGCACTGCTGGTTAGACCCACTGATTTAACCCAAAGATTTATTTATCTAACATTTATGTTAGATAACACTTTGCCCTTCAGCTCCTTTTACTAACATTATCTTACTCTGAGGTAATAGGTAATATTTTTAAACCTAAGTATACTCCTGCATTTGATCCATAATGCTAAATGTGCTACTGATGAATGTTGAAATGTAGCCTTAAATGTATTGTAATGTGGTTTGTTAGTTCAGTTCAGTTCCGCTGTTACAACACAGTGTAAAGTTCACCACCAGCACATTCAACAGACGTAAAAAAAAAAAAAAAAAAACTGTTGCAAAAAGACTCATTTACAGAATTTCTTCTTTTAACAATAACAAAAATATAAGGCTAGAAAAATTATACATATTTTAAGTATAAATATTTTACACGACGTTAAGTTTAATACGGCAGGAAAAGTGTCGTAAGTGACCGGACCGGATACACATGCATTTACTTGCTTTCCAACATGGCGACTGAGGGCACGTAGAATTTTGTTTTGGGCTATAGCACTACGGATTATTGTAACATTTGGACCACCTGCAAGCTATTTGGTTCTCAAAAAACCACCATTGTACCGTAATTAGTAGTCTGTCTTGCAAATTAAATAGTTTTTTAAGAGTAACTTGGAGATGTATCGTCGCGGAGCGCCAAAGAAAGACCACAACAACAAACCGGTGAAGAAGGATGTGAGTGACAGTGATAAATACGCCGACCTGCTGGTGTTCGGCTATGCCTGCAAACTGTTTCCAGACGACGAAAGGGCTCTTTACCACGAGCAAGGAAAACATCTTATTCCGTGGATGGGGGACAAGAGCATCATGATTGATAGGTCGGTTGAACAAACTTAGACCGAAACATTATGCTAACCATCTATCCTGTCCGTTAGCCTGTTTCAAAATTCAAGGGACCACTTGGAGTTTGTCTTGCAGAAGCTTGGAAATACCTGCTACTGGCGACGAATGTTTTATTTCTTGCCTGCTAACTTGTTTTTTGGATGTCCTGAACTGACAACAAATGGTATCTGACGTTTCTAGATTAACATGCGAAGATGCAACCCCGCTGTCAGTTTTTTTTGCTAACATTAGCCATGATGCTGAACTATCAGTATTCACTCAGTTGCCAATTGTTTAGGCACACCAGCTAAAAGTACCGCAGTTTAATACATCATTAATACAAATAGTCGAGGCAAATTGAATTGAAACTACTGTAAAAACGTTTAAACAAAAGATCAACATTATAATCTTTACTAAGGTATGATTTATTACAGTCTGCATTAGTTTGTGTACCTCCTAAACTGGCGATAGGGTGTATTTTAGACACAAAAAAAAGACATTTAAATTCCAAATTTAATCTTCTTTAAGACTTCTTAAGTTAGCTTTTAGGTGGGCTTTGCGTCTTGGCATGTTGGGAGAATTTTCTCTGGAAACTTTTTACTCCAGGCATACTTTATGATTGAATAAAATGGAGTATGACACAGAAGATGTATCATGCGTTCTGTCCTTCTCCAATTGAGTATTGCAGAAAATACCAATGTGTAGCTTGTACACAAAGCTGATGACCTGGGATTTTATTATGCTGTGCTGATATCCACAAGGCCAGAGCAAATTCTAACCAAGATTCAAGTTACTGCAGTTAAGGTGATTCAAAATATCACAATGACTTGGGGCTTGACAAAAGGTTTAAAGGTGCTGTCAGCCATTGTACAGAATGTTGCTGCATGTGATGGAGTAATGTGTAATTGCCACCTCCATGCAAAACACATAATTAATTATTCTAGCCTTTATAATAATGCATTGATGCTTTTGAATTACCTTGATCTGCAGTGGCCCAACTTGTGTTTCATTTGTACAGCCTTTGTATGTGTGTCTTTATCACGTAACCCAGTTTCTTCCCCAGCAAGTTAGGCTAAGGGGTCCTGCCAAACCCCGAATGCCAACCACAGCACCCCATTTCTTTGTCTTCATGAAGAAACTGCAACTGAGAGGTGGCGTAGAGGGACGAACCCTGGAAAATGTCGTCCATTTGGGTTCTTACGGATAGGTATTTATGTGCTCGGGTTTGTGTGAATGTAACTATCTTTGCAGATGTAGAAGTAATGATGAGTGTTACAGGGGGGGATTGAACCCTGTAAGGTAAGAGGCGAGTTGCTTTGTTTGTTTTTCTTCTGTTTGTTCTTTTGATGTAGGGTTGTTGGTTTGTAAGACTTGTCAAGGAAGGAAATAGCAGCAGAAAGCTTGCTAGATATCTTAAGAGCACTGTTGACAAGTAGGGCATTACTTTGTTGTCAGTATTTCGAGAAATATTCACAACTTGTAGTATTTTAGAAGTATACTCCCTCTTGACAGACTTACAGAGGTAGAGCATTTTGTTGTAGATTTTGGGTTGTAGGTCCCTCTCTCTTGGTAAGTAAGTCCATGTTGTGAATAAAAGTCTTTGTCGACTTCCTTCTCTCTAATCCTTTTTATCATCCAACAGATACGATGGGCGTGGTCACTTACATGACCTTTCAGAGTATGACAGCGGGTCATGGAATACATCCTACCAGCTGTCGGAAGAAGAGGACAGGATTGAGGCACTGTGCGATGAGGAGAGGTACCTGGCACTGCACACTGACCTGCTGGAAGAGGAAGCCAGACAAGGTGGGCAGGACAATCAGAACAGAACATTTAAAGTGGGATAAAAACACACATAGTGGGTTATGCTGGATGATAATGAAGTAAATGTCTGCTTTTATTTCTTGCATGAGTCATGGTCTTTCACAGTCAATGGAAGAGCTAGCTAGCAGACAGTATATTGTCCTATCTGATTTTTTTTTTATTTTTGGGCCCATTAATTATTAGTTATTACCATCTGTCACCCCATCATCTTGTGGCGGATGGGGTAATGAGCCACAGCTGACCAACCGTAAACACTGCATGTATTTTAAATAAGGTCCCACATACATGCTATGGCTATGTAACTTTTAAGTGCATATTTCTCAACTGCTGTTGGAACATAACCTACAAGAATGGTCCTCAAGGCTTCTTAAATAGCTTAAAAACATATCTCTGTGTTGTTTCAGTGACATATGAAAGTAATCTCTGGTGTGTGGTGCTACTTCCCTACTGGCATAATGTTACGACACTTACAAATGGTTTGAAACTTGTGTTTTACCGACGGATATTAATTCCCATCGACAGAAGTTCTAACCCTTCTATTTTACTGGCAGATACGAGCCTTGCAGGCAGCTGTCACTTGGGCTTAATATGTTTGTCGTAGTCAAGGTTGCAGGACAAGCTATAACTAAACACAAATACTAATGTGCCACAGAAGCATGGCCGCTGTCAAATCAAAATGCTCTTGACACTTTGCAGTGTTTATTACTGATGTCTCATTACACTAACTACTTGAGTGCCTCAAGTCGTCGTTTCAGCCCTCATCAGTGTTGCCTTGCTGTTTTAGAGTTAAAACGTTCAATGTCTTCTAAGGCAGTCAGTGTTTGAATTAGTGTCCAATTTCTTAGTGTCAAATTTTTATATCAGGCCTGTGTCCTCTTTTAACACTTCTCCCACAGCTTAGGCTAATTTGACAAGTCTGTCTGTACAAAGAGAAAAACGTCAACCCTTGCCAGAGCTATATACTTTAATTTAGGCTTCTTAACAAAATCTTGATTTTCTAGGACGAATCTTCACCAGAGTAGGCACAGCTTTCCGTCTCATTAAAAAGGACCGGCTTTGACTCTGAGTTCAAGAGCGGCCATTTCTATGGAAATCACTTTCGACTGTAGGATTCTTGCATCTCAGTCCTTTTACATTATAATGAAACAGGCTGTTTTGATGACAAAGCACCCTTCTGAAAGACAGACTTAATGACTGTAATTGAATTAATAAGCCACAGTTTTAAGTGAAATATGGTGTCTTATGCCCAAACTGACAGGACAGAATGAGTCAGCTAATGATTTGTGTCACACACACACTTATACACTCACTGCAGAAGGTTCATCCCCCAGGCTGGTTTGCCCTTGAATTTGGAGGCTTGACCCCATTCACTCAGGCTATTACCCATCTGTCCACTGAAGGGACAGCAGGAAAGCATTAAAAATATTGATAGTTTTAGTGGGAATTTCGCCCTTGCTTCTTTAATAAAGATATAGTTTGCCATGAATTTCAATAGAAAGGGGTTGGTGTCTGTGGCCAAGTAACCATGTATATAACCAGTACGTTTTTTCTGTTGATCAGTGTGCTTGTACAAGAACGTTAGAATATAATCTCTCACAGTCGTAATATTTATTGCAGCAATACCATTATTATCCCTAGTATAAAATAACTATCATCACTTATTATTCAAGAGTATTATTGTAAATCTAACCATATAAATGCCAATAACATGAGTTTTGGACACAATGGCAAAATGGTTTACTTTCGAAAATATAAACACATTTTTTCCCACAGAGACCCTGTTCAAGTATTCAGGGTTCATTAAAATTATTTATGTGTTTAATATTGTCCCAACACAAGAAACCGCTCAAGACTTTTGCTAGAAAATGTTTGTATATAAAACTCTTGTTGTTTAGTCCGGTTAAATCAGACTCTGGTCCGCTTCCCCCCTTTCTAACATTCGTTTGGACAGGAACACAGCAGACTTACTGCAGACTGAAACAAGTGCACCAAGACCTTTAGAGGAAGTGGTCTTGTTGCAGAAACAATATTATGGACCAGTTCGTAGATTTTGTGATCCGACCTTGATGTGACCCAACTGCAAGTATGAGCAATATGTCCTACCCTGCTTTTGATTGGCTTACCCTGATATTCTTACCCTACCCAATCTCATTCCTCATGCCCAAACCTAACCAACCAACCACACCAGTAAAGGCAATGAGAACAAGTCAATTAGAAGGATAGTAGGGCGGGTCATGACTTCGCCACCCTGTAAAAAAAAATGTTTGGATGAGTGAAATCAGTAGTTGCTAGCAGCCTGTCCGAATGAATTGAGGTCTGACCAGCACTATTACTGTTGCTTTCTTGATATTTGAGCAGATAGGACCTCCTTCAGGACCTTTTTCCTGTGTTTACCTTGTTGTTCCTGCTTCAGATACACCTAATCAATGAGCAGAGGAAACGTTCTCAAGTGGCTTTTAGCAATACTTTTTGGTTTGTTGGTTTAACTCACACAAAAAAAAAAAAAAACAAAGGGGAAAATACAAGTTTACCAACTCATCCACTGATTCGGACCAGAGAAACCTAACTATAGGATTGAAAATGCCCTAAAAAGCACTTGGTACCGACTTGCAATGCTACCTAACTTAGTTTACTAGTTAGTTTGTGGGTTTTTTGCTCAGTATATTCAAGACTTAAAGCAAAGTGATAACAAGGAGAGGATTCCTTAAAAATTAGCTATGTAACATATAACATAAACACAGTGTGCATGATGTATTGTGGCACTATCATCATCCTAAATGTAGCCATTTTCATGCTATATATGGAAACCTTTGTGAAGGCTCCCCAAGTGCTTTCCTTGTAGGCTGTTCCTGAGGTCTGTTCTCCCCTTTCAAAAGTTAAGATTTGTCTATATAAATTCTTAAATTGAACAATACATATATGTTTCTATCAAAAGCAATCAAGTTGTGTGTTGTAGCCCAATACCCTGTCCATGGTGGAGAAACCAAGTTCACCGTTCAGACCAGTGTTGTGCAAGGTCACACTTTCAAGAGGGAGCTTAAAGTTCAGTTCACACAGATTAAAATGAACTAGTCCACGTTGATTTTCTTTTTTTTAAATGAGCTGCTTTACAAAATGCTGTGAGTTTGACTTTGGTGGAGAAACTCCGGCTGTTGGCTCGTTGTGTTTTTGCCTTTTGTGAATTATTTCTTGCGATCATCATTCACTTAATGAGCCGCTGGCTTTCCACCGCTTTGTTTCCCTCTCTCTTCAGCTGTGTGCTGATGTAATAGCTCAACTGGAAAATTACATAATTTCCGCCTTGTATTCCTTGCTTGGCTCTGACATTTTGGCGAGAAACGTTTGTATTCGGTTGTCCTGTTACAGATTTTTCTCTTATTAGGCGGCGCCATGGTCATGTTAGCTCACCTGCATCCCGTACACTCGTGCTCCTCAGTAATTTAAAGGGACTCTGATAGCAGTGGCACTCGCATCCAAGTAGACAACAACACAGAGCTTGACGCACGTTTCAGAACAGCACTGCACTGATTTCTGAAATAATGGATACTATATATATATTATTTATTATTATTATTTATTTATTTTTTGGCCTCACAGGGATTCCTGTACTGTACTAATACAGACACTGTTATTATTATTATTGACACAATAGTCTTAATAGGTGGTGTGTGGTTATCCAGGGCTACATCATCAGTTTGTTCAATCTGATTTAAGTTTAATGATGTGTTTTCTTGTTTTCCACAGAGGAGGAGTACAAACGACTGAGTGAGGCTCTGGCTGATGAAGGTTCCTACAATGCAGTGGCCTTCAAATACAGTGCTGACTACTATGATCCCTCTCAGCCCACTGAGGAGGAGGATGCTAACAAGGAAACCGGTGAGAAGTCACATCATTTGCATACTTGCCTCATGAGTCCTGTAACTCTGATACATGTTATCGGTCACCCATTTGGATATATTTACAAATACACTCAGGCCTGATATTCTAATGTGTTTCATATAATCTGTCAAACACCCTTTTGGACATCAGGGGCCTTATTTATAAAGGCTGCTATGCATAAAATAGTTGCTGAAATGTGCATATTGCCCCGCAAAAGTTGAGATTTATAGAGGAATTATGTGCGGTATAGTATAGTTACTGTTGGTATTATTAACTCCACTTATTTAAATGCAGTGAGAATTTGCCTGTAATGTGTATTACAGAAGTCAGCCTTGCTGGTTTCATTCACTTAGGGTTCCTGCGCCACAGCAAAGTGTGATGACGCAAACAAAAAACGCGGCCAGCACACGCTTGTCTGGATAAGCACCAACATGTCTGCGGTGTGGACGTATTTCAATATATCTGAGAAAGACCCATGGATAGCGATTTGCAAACCGTGTATAATAATAATGCTGAATTTTCAAGAAGGGGTGCATCTGCAAAGAGTTTCTCCACGTCGGGTTTAATTTATCACCTGAAATCCAAACATCCTGATTGCCATTCTCAATATGAGAAGAATGTGGCACAGAAAAGGAAAATCAATCCGAGCGCACCCACTCCGTCTGTGGCGGACGTTTTTGAAAAGGCAAGAAAGTTTTCCAGTGATGGTGCCAGGGGCAAAGGGCATTACACAAAAAATTATGGAATTCATTGCCTTAGATGATCAGCCATTCTCTGTCGTAGAGGATGTGGGATTTCGTAGGCTGATTATTATTCTCATTATTCATTCATTCATTCATTCATTCATTCATCATTATTATTTATTTAATGTACACATGAGTGGGGTCAAGTTAAACATTTTATTTTGAATTTTATTTTATTTTATATTGTGCATTGTTGTGATGTCAGTGCTAAATAAATCTTTTCATACTTTTGTAATTGATTTATTCTTTGAATTGCAATGCCTTGATTTTAGTGAGGTTAGTACACAGTCATAGCCATAAATGTAATGGTACTGATAACTGGCATAATAATTTCTTTCGGTGTTTCGGTTTTCGGCCTTGGTTGCCTTATTTTCGGTTTTCGGCCAAGAATTTTCATTTCGGTGCAACCCTACTTACAATAATACTAAACATTGGCTGTTCCGTCTTTCCCTCACTGATAGTCTAACTAAGTTTCCTTAAACAGGTCGGTATATTCATGATCTATTTAGCATTGACCATTTATGGATCATTGTGGGAAGACACTAGGAGAAGTAAACGCACACACAATTCAGGTGGTTATAAAGAGGAATCACGTTATTGCATGTAAATGTACTGCTTGAAAATCTGAGATCTTTGATACACCTCTTGTGACCTTGACATGCTCAGGATGGGATCTATGCCATTTCAAAGTTTTTCGCTCCTTGACTTTTGTTTTTTGGCTGCTGTGAAGAACACAGCAGCTCTGCCTAATCCATTTCTTCTTTATTTTAACTGCTCTAATCCATGTAACCATCTGCAGACACACAACCTCCACGGAGTTGCTGAAGTTGAATTTCTGCCTGCAGAGCACACAATGAACAGGGCAAACATATTTGAAATGTTATATTTAATTCAATATTAAACAATTATATCATAATATTTCAAAAGTTTATTATAATTATTTGTAACAACCATGTATCTGAGGCAATACAGCTATAGCATAAAAGAAGACTGAGTGGAAGGAAGTCTAACATTTATACTGACCAGCGACAACTTTGGTTGTCATCCATCCATCCACACACACACACACACACACACACACTTGCAGCTTTAAATATTTGATGTAGAGATTGCTGGAAGCACTTTGTCCCAACCGGTGGCATGACAGTTAAGCAGAATAGATGCCTCTCTCTGGGGAGGTTGCAGAGTTGTATAAATACATCTACCAGAGCTCCAGAAGAATTTGTCTTTTGGGAATAAGTCAACCAGGATCATGTCACACTATCCATTAACATTTTGAGCTGATTTCAACTGGAATCTCTGCTACAATTTTAGGTTTTTGTGATTATGATTTTCCCTTCTCGCTTTTAAGGTCTTTGATATTATCACAAATGCAAAATCATTAAAAAGTCTTCCACCAGAATCTAAATTTCAAGCCTCAAAGAGAGAGTATTTGGGCTATCAGATACAGAGACACATAATCACAATATTAATCAAGTAATTGTCACTGTATTTGCTGAATGAAAGCCAAATAAGCCATAGGGTTAATTGCAGTATAATTTATTATCTGTTGTCTGCGACAGAACTAGGTCTTATTGTTAACCTACCTGTAAAACCCATTGTTACCCAGTCATTTTAACAATGCAGCCGTTGATTTCATATCCTGTCAAAATAAGGAAGCTGATTTGAATGTGCACTATATCTATTAGCTGAATTTATTTAAATTTACCCATTTCACCTTCACTGAAATACCTGTATTCCACATATTTCTAACAATTAGGGACTATTGGCTGTCCTATTCAGCTGTGTAAGCAGACTGCCTTCTTGTCTCCCTGTATGGAGCTGCTGAGTCAATGTGTGGCAGTATTTTTGTAGATAAACAGTTTGCTACTTTATCACAGGATAAATGGGGATGCTGCATTGCCATTTTGAAGTGTGATAACCATTGAGTTTCATATACTATACCACTTTAGAATTAGCAGCATGATCCAAATATAAGCTAGTAAACCATGATAATAATCCTGTTATATCATAAAAATAACTGAAGTAATGATTACTTTCAAAATTAGGGCACTGTTTGGAAGGCCATTACATGATCACTGAATTAGAGTTGAGCCCTCACATAAGATGGATTGACACTGCGTACCTTTCAGGTCCTGCCAAAAGCTGATTTAAAAACTGTACCCATGGGACACCTTATACGACAAACCAAGTACCAAGTAAAATATGTAGGATTGGTGGGAAGGCTGTTTGTTTTCCCCATAGATCGCTTAAATTAAGAGGCATGCCTCCTTCGTTACCGTGAAAACTCCCAACAGTACAACATTAAAAGTGTTAATCTAGTTTCAACCTGGCATTACATTTCTTATCAAGTGTAGATGAAGGTAAAGGAAAGAGGATGAAGAGTGTTGTTTTTTTACTGTGATATATTTATATAGTGGATGGAATGGTGCAAGTGGTTCACTCACTTTAAAAATGTTTTAGGAAGTCAAAATTTATCTTGAGTTATTGCTCAACTCAGTATATATCCAGCGGGATATATTTTCTTTTTCGTTACAAATGACTAACAAGACTTAGTCTCATCCTTTTTGTGCTAATATCTCTTCACATGCATAGAAGAGGCAGAACCCGAGGAGAGTGAGGAACCATTCGTTGCTCCCCCAGGGCTCGCTATCCCTCCTGATGTGGAACTGGTGAGTATTAAATATCCAGCTGCTATACTGATCTTGATATACCCTATTGTGCTTTTATACATACTATATATAAACACAACACAAACATGCAAATGCACCGTGGGGTTTGCAGAATAACTTATTAGACTAAGAGCTAATTGGTTTAGTTGTTGTCAACAACGTGAGCTTTTATTGCAAGTCTTCATTTTCCATTTCATTTTGAATTTTCTAGACTGATTTAACAGAATAAATGTGTGATTGATTGCTGCTTTTATTGCTCAGAGAGGCTGAATAGATTCAGTAGCTCATATTAGAGATAGTTCTCATAGACTGCATACAATCTATGATAGATTGAGTCTACAATATGAACATTACCTAGCCTACTTGTATAATTCTTCTTCTAAAAAAGTATTGTGAAGTATAGATGAGAAATCCTGACAGTCAAAATATCAGCTCAGTAGTGCTTTTTCCTCTTCCTGTGTATTTCAACTATTGATTCATGTTTTCTTTAGTTTGAATTTAGTCTTTAGAAATGACAAAAAAACTTGTCCATTGTAGTTTCCCATAACCCAATGTGACGTCCTCAAATTCACCAACAGTCCAATACCCAAAGACCTTTGGTTACTATAATAGAAGACAAAGAAAACCACCAACTATTCACATTTCAGAAGCTGGAAGCTGGTAGATATTTCTACTTAAAAGTTTTATGTCGTAACAGTGTATTCATCTTTATGATGCTAGCACATTTTTGTTGTATATAAAAATATATACATATAGGTAATGCTTCACATTGACTTAACATCCAATAATAACAGAGTAAGAGGTTGCTTTGTTCTATCTGGCAGTTTTGTATCAGACAACCTTCCCTCAGGACCAGGCCAGTCCGCAACCTCAACCCGCAGCAGTCCCCTTCAGCTGCCACTTTCTTATGCATGAGACTAAAGACAAGCTTTAATGTTGGCATGGACTGTGCATATTTTCAGTATATATCGTGTTGGGTATAAAACTGTCAAACCACCCCCGTGAACACATACAGAGCACAACATAGCTGCAGTACATGATATGCATATAATATTAGTATCTACTCCCTAGATTTGGAAGGAATATCCTTCTCTCTGAATACATTTCAGTGTATCATTACTTTTAAAGGCTTTTGTTATTGGAGTGTTAATTTCCTTTGATAGTCATAGCAGAGATGACAGGCAGCATGGGGAGAAAGCAGGGAATGACGTGCGTCACAGGTCTATGTCCTGAATCTAACCTGGACGTTGTGATGCATCTCAGACCGCTAACTTATCTGGAGCCAAATATTAATAGTTTCAATGTAGTTTACAGTGCAGTTTATTGTTGCTGTGTTTTTTTTATAAACTAAGATTTTTTTAAATTAATGCACCCCAGCTGTTGGGACCAAGATGACATGAGATATAAATTGTAAACTGTACATTTTGCTTTCAGGGCTGGCATGCCTTATGACTGTTACACGTTAGTTATGTTTTGCTTTGGCGTAGAAACACTGTACACTGTAAAGATGTGGCTGAAGATGCTTTCCTTGTATATATCATGTCAACATAAAATAAGTATTACACTTCCCCTTTTTACCTAATGGATAAGTTCTTAAATTGAAGTGTGAAAGGCCCTTGTATGTCAGGAAGTCCTTGGCAGCTTGGAACACAATAATGGTATGTTAGTGTTGGACACTGGCATCTTTTTGGCCAGTGTCTTGAAAGGTAGTATTTATTATGACTTTCATCTCGATGAGATATGTGTGTTCTTTTGGAGATTGCTGCACTTCCCTGTACTCTCTAGGTAATGACAATGATTAATCATTGAAAGCACACAAGGGGAACAATAATGAATGAATAATGGACCATTTCTTGTTCCACTGATTTCCACCTCATGTGTATTTAAGAATTAATGTCATCACAATGAACATAAGAGTGCCCAGCATAAGAATGCTTTAGAGACAAAATGGCTTGTGTCCTTGGTATGAGGGAGCCTTTCGTAAACTGTGCATTGCATCTTAATTGTGCAGCATGTGGAGCAGTCAGGTTTGCTCATTCTGATATGTGGTAATGATTATTTTACACTATTGTGGCCTGAGCAGAGTGTTTCTATAAGAAATGTTTCCTGTTTTTGCACATTCAGTTTGGCCAAGAAATTGATAATGGAATTAATGTATTAAATATGTTCAGTTTTAAACCTACATGTTCATTATTTGACTTTTTTGCAGCCTGCAACCATCAAGACCCATAACATCATCGAGAGGACAGCCAACTTTGTCTGTCAGCAGGGGGCTCAGTTTGAGATAGTCCTAAAAGCTAAGCAGTCTGGCAACTCCCAGTTTGACTTTCTTCGTTTTGACCATTACTTGAATCCTTATTACAAACACATCCTGCGGGCCATGAAGGAAGGTCGATACAACCTTGTTTCCGCCAGCAAGAAAGAGCAGTCGCAAGGTGAGTTACAGGAAGCTGTCACGAATCCATAGGTTATGTCCTTACACAGAGATGAGATTTGCACTGTGCTGTAATCAATGCAGGAATATTAGATCTGTAATACATGCAATGAAACACAGTGCAGTAAGACACATTAACATTCTGCATTGATTATAATGTTAAACATTTATTCATACATATATTCAGTACTTTTTTTGCTCTTTTTTTTTGTTTATTTTTTACTTTCTTGCTGTAGACTCTCACTCGGATGATTCAGATGAGGATGGGGACGGGAGTTACCTTCATCCCAGCCTGTTTGCCCCTAAAAAATGCTCTCGCCTGGAGGAACTTGTGAAGGTAATGTAAATAGAATGTAGGCCACCCAGTGCAGCACAAAACATTGTATCTTCCTGGTTTTTGTATGACTTATGTAGCTTATAAAGCAGGAGAATTATGTTCATTGGACAGTGACCTTTAGGCTGCTCATCTAAAGGAGTCAAACTGGTAATGGCACTATTACACCCTCTTTACTTTTGCAGTATGCTGCAATTCTAACTGCGATGTGAATTACATTTAGCACTTGTTAGAACTGCCCATGTCTGTTATTGCATTCTCTAATAACTATATTCTGTTTCCTTGTGTTCATGCTGTTACAGTTTTCTCTTGATGCTCTTCATAGGCCTTGTAGGACAGCCATTAGTCTTTGACAGGGCAGCAAGAATGGAAGCATGTCTTTTTTTATAGAAACATAATGAACTCCTTTTAGTAACAAGCCGTCTAACAGTCGCCTCTATCAAGAGGGATTTCCTTTTCAAATCAGCTACTCAAATTTTCTACTAATGATTCATGTTTTATATTTTATGGGGTTAGATCTTAAATTCTGTATATTTCTTATACTGGACCAAGGAAGATCACTGCATAAGATTACTTCCAGAGTAATGCTTAAATATTGCACAGCATTTCATGGTTTTCTGACTTCAGAGAGCTTTGAGTATTTGGTGGCTGTATTATATTATTACTGTAAAATGGTTCTGTCTCTTATAATTGCATATGTGGTATGATCTCAATGCTGGCCTTATTTTTCTGTAGCCTCTGAAAGTAATGGACCCAGACCATCCTCTGGCAGCACTTGTACGAAAAGCCAAACAGGAAAGAAATGGCACTGCAGCAATGGCAACTAAACCAGAGGAAGTGCCAGACCCAGCTGCATCCAGCACACCAGCACAGTACACTACTGACCGTGAGTATAGATATAAAGACTTACAGTGTTCATCACACTTTGGGTCTACTTTATTTTATCTTTCCTTTGTGGAATTTTTTTTTAAATCGAATGCCTCCCTGCTCTACTGCGCAGTTATTATAACTGCATTTTTTTGTTGATTACTGTTGACCACAGAAAAGTGGCATTTGCCTCCTTTTGGACTATTTTCTGCTTACAGTGTTCTGCCACTGCTGGTTGTTCAATACAGCTTCCCACTCTTAAACTCTGACCATAGCCTATAATTGATGTGAAGGCCTTTTTAATGCCTTTTCAGGAAGGTAATATTGAGCTTAAAGGTGTTCTGGGGCAGATCAGAACCTCCTGTACTGACCTAAACCTGCTCTCAGGTCCACACTTTCTTGTTCACTTGGGTTCTGGGTCAGGCCAGATTTAAATAGATGTGGGTCTTTAGTGTGTGCAACGTTTTTTTTTGACCTGACAGAACCTGAAAAAGTCATGGCTAAAATGATGAGCACAGGACGCATCTCTGGCATGTATCAGTAACACGCAATGTACAATATATATATATAACACACAATTCAAAAGTGTAGGAGCAAATGTGCCTAATTAAGTCAAATGTAATGCCACCAAACAAACAAACAAACAAACAAACACATTTTTTAGAATAAATGAAATGAAGCAAGTGCAATTACATTAATTCAAAAGTGCCTGTTTTATTACCAGCTGAAATCAAATTAATTACAGATATAAAATGGCTATTATTATTGTTGTCGTTGTATTGTTTTCATGTATGAGTTCATCCTTCCCTGAAATAGTTGCTTTAATAAACCCACGGTCATTGGCTCCTGCTGACCTGTGAGTGTTTACTTGTCCATTGCTGCAGTGAATTCATCCCTCACAGTTGTGGAGTGTGTCCTTTGACCTGATCTTTGCAGTCAAAATGGGGCTGTTGATGTTAGTATATTGTTGTGGATGACGTAGTGCTATTGATATGAACTTCTCAAACTTATGATGTCAATACAGCGCATGGAAAATAAGTTGCTTTATTACCTCTTTTGTACTGGATTGCCTCCCTTAGTGTATGTAATGAGTATGATAAAGACCTAACAATAAGAGCAGCTCCCTCTCACCATGTCTGACCAACTATTCAACTAAATTTCGTTTTTGTCCTTCCACTTAAATCTTAAGTCTTTATTTTAGCTGTAACACATTTAAGTAGGGTTGGGTAAAAAATTTCCAACTGACAATTGTTAATTTCGCACAAACATGTGTGCTGCGGCGGCCCCGACCCCCCAATCACTGACCTGGTAGTTGCAGCTGAGAGAGATAAGCGTCATAAGCGTTCTCATAGCTTTAATAAACAAAATAAACTCACAAAATGTCAGGAAGGGCAAAGAAAATATATAAAACCTATTTTCCTCATTAAACAGAAAAATACAACGGTACACCTTCTGAATTCAAGTTTCTCTCTTTTACAGAACTAAGACCTGCTTAATTGCCTTTTTAAGCAATTTAAAAAAAATACAGAAACTAAATAAAACTCACCAGAATGGTCTTATTAGTCTTTCCACTGTTCCAACAACCAGCAACTCTGCAGTCTAACCATCTAACTGAGTTAGATGTGAAAATATTATGGCGCTACACGCTGTGGCTTCCTCTCTGGCTGCCCGACCACCCTCTCGCTTCTCTCCCGCTTTACAGTGGCCTGTCTCGGACTGAAATCACTGTGTCCTCATCTTCCCCGAGTCTTGGTAGGCGCCTCTGTGAATCACCTCGTTACTGTATTCAAAAAAACTGTTAAACTAGACGGAATAAACCCTTAATTCACCCCAGTTAGATATGAACTCTTTCTATGGCTTACTGTGCTGCTGAGTTGCGGTTCTCGTTTTTCGGAGGCAGACCGTTAAATAATCAAAATAAAATGACAAAAATTGTCCCAAAAAAACCCAAGCACCGTAAGCCGATATATTCGTTCAGTTGCCCAACACTAATGTCAGGTTTGTAAATGAAAGCCCCTGCTTTGGTTTTCCATTTTCCTGACTAGAGAAAATTGGATGTGTCATTAAAGTCAACCAGCTCAGTGACTAATGTGTTAATATCACACTGTCTCCACTTTCACACTGACCAATTATTTTTGTGCCTCTCCCTGTATTGCCCCACTCTTCTTCTCCTTTCTCTTTTCCATAGAGGGTCTTTGTATTACAAACCCACTGATTCAAGAAATGACACTTCTGCACATTGGTCATGTGTTGATTTATATTCTCTTCCCCTTGTTGATTCAAATTAATCACTGAATAACAATCACATTAAACATAACATAAAAACATAGTTAGGCGGTGAACAGGACAGCCCAGTACGTAAAACAACCACAACAAAAAGCAAGCTTCAGTGACAGAAGACCCTTCATAGCCATATAATGAATATCTCTAAACCACTTAACTGAACTTCTGACGTCTGACAGCAACAACCACACTGATGTGGCAAATTCGAATGCAGCTGCTTACACTTTGCCTGCACTCGCGTCATAAAGCATGAAAGCACGCAAGCTATGGCCTTTAAGGTCACTATAGAATCAGCAACTGTGACAGTCTTAACAAAAACTGAATTTTATGATCCTCTCAAAGTTGTTATTTATAGCGTGGCTGTGGAATGGATTGCATTACACTGTGCACTTTGTGTCCACATGAAGTAACAGTAGATGTTTATCCGGCACAATTGAAGCATTTCTGGGGGGAATTTCGTGTAATCATTTCCTGCTCATGTCTTTACAGCAAATTCAGCTGCAATGTACTACGGGTACTACATGCTTCCTGATGGAACGTTCTGCTTGGCCCCACCTCCCCCGGGAATAGATGCCAGCTCCTACTATAACAATATGCCCTCAGCTGTCATGGCTCCCCCTACGTCTTCTGTGACTTTGCCTAATCTGGGAACTACACCCACGGCTCTTGAAACTACCGCCTTGGCACCACCAGCTACAGCCCCCTCTCAGGTCACCAGTTCTGCTGCTTCTGCTCTTGTACCAGAAACCAGGTAGGAAGTAATGGTCATCCCTGTGTAATAACATTTTCTCCTTGATAGCTTTAGTTGCATTTAACAGGTTATTGATTTTTTTTGTGTTTCTTGTATTTTGCTTTATCAAAAATTAAGTACTATGACAGCATACCTGTTTTATTAGCCGAAACACAACAAGCAAACATCAGCTTGACATCTTTCATTTCCCCCAAAACAGTGCAAAACCAGAAGCTCAAGTTCCCACACAAGCACCGCAAGCCATCATACCCCCACCACCTGACATCCAGCCAGTCATAGACAAGCTGGCCGAGTACGTTGCAAGGAATGGTGTTAAGTTTGAGGCCAGTGTACGTGCCAAGAATGATCCACGGTAAGTGTTCTTACCAGAAAGAAAGCTGTTGCCCCGGTCAGGTCTGGGTTTTAGGAACTCTTTATCAGTAACTTTCCATTCAGATACTTCAGAACCTCTTCATCATCCTTTGGCTCATCTTTTATGAGTGCTCACCTCTCATCTCATACAGTATGTGTTCTTCCCTCTATCTACTGTAGGTTTGACTTTCTGCAGTCTTGGCATCAGTACAACACCTATTACGAGTTTAAGAAGAATTACTTCATGCAGAGGGAAGGAAGGTTCTTGCCAGAGGTACTATACGCTTCATATATGTATCAGTGTGTGTGTTTCTGTGCGTCAGACAGACCCCCCTCCAGCTTTGTTAACCACTTTACATTCCTGTCCACATCTTGACACCTTTGGGCAAAATATGTATTTTTGACACACTCATTTTAGTGCCATGGCCACTTGGCCTTTGTGCCCTCACAAAACTGACAACACCAAAGTGATGAAATAATGAAACTCTAGACCTAAGTGTCAAAAATTTATGTTTTGCCCATCAAATTAAACAATGATTTGATATCCACTGAAATAATACATTTAAGGTTAACGAAGAAGAACGTAACACTTTTCAGGCCACTGGGTCAGCTAAGTCAACGCTATAGAGATCTGTATGAGAAATGCATAACATTATATGGTAAATTTCTTGTCTAGTCACAGATTTGTGGCATTGGCTCATCAGGATGAGTTTGTCTCCTGATTGGCAATTGCTAGATTTGTTTCAAACCATCATCATAAATAGCCAGGTTTTCCAGCGGTTCATACAGTGCTCGAGATCAAACCCACTACTGGTTATGTGTGCAGCTTTCACTTGATGTTGTCCAATATAAGAATTCAAAATCTCATCAAAAGACACTGGTATCTAAAAACCATATTAACAGGACAACAGTGAAATTAGCTGCGCCAGTGCAGGCAGGGTATCAAGGCCACTTTGGCTGTAGGGTATATCATTTTTGGCTAAACTGAGGGGGCATTGCAGGCATGGCCATCGCCCAATGGTGTTTGATACAAATCACCAGTAAAACTACCACATTGCTACAAAATTTTGTATGGGTACTTATGGCCCCCAGTTAATGAATTATAATGGTTATGATGACTGTACTGCTACATTGTTATCACAGCTGCTACAGAATCATAAGCCATAAAAACTCCTATATGAAGCCCTAAAGCCTCGCCAAGTGGCACATGAGTTTTACAGAGCAGATGAAGTACATTTTCAAAATGAAAGATCAGTGTTATAATGCTTGCATTAGTTAAGAAAAACAAAGCGGAAAAAGACTACTATCCACAGAACTAATATATGATAGAAGGAGCTAATGTAAGAAATATATATGAGAGAGCAAGAGGGACAAATAGCACATCATCCCACCAGGTGACCTTCACACCTAGGAGAAACACATTTGTCTCCTGTCATCAACCTGACTCTTCTCCACACCTGTATGTAATTCTGTTTAACAGCGTTTGCAGCCAAAGTTTAGACATGGGAAAAGATTGTCTAAGCATTTGCTGCACTTACAGTCAACCTTGAAATTAGCTGCTTTTTGTTGCTGATAAGCAGGGACCTGACATATTAGAGGCATCCTGATCCAAAATATGAAATGAAGGATGAGAGTGATGTGGGAACAAGAAAAGATACCAATTGGAGTTTTGTCAAAGGTGGATACAGCCCCCTTACAGGGCACCAGAGTAATACTTTCAAAAAGACCCACTATCTTGACCAGCCTCCTTTTCCACCTTCAATACTTTAACTCCAGATTCTACCAGTGAGAATTACAGTTCTTCCCAGTCTAGTCTCCCTTGTATCAGCAATTTTATACAATCAAGGTAGAATGCTAGTTTACTTGTCCAGCCTTGCTAGTGCTGCAAGACCTCCACTCCCCATCACTGTTGCATCAAACCTGAAATCCAATCATGGTGTAACAGGACTTTAATGAGGCATCCCACCCAATTAGCAGCAGTGCCAACAGACATGTAGCAATCTCACTGGCTCGCCTAGCTCCCAGTGGCACATGCCGTATATACTGTATGGTGTATTGGGTAACCAGTAACTGTTGCTAACAAATTCCCTGTGGGTTAGGAAAGAGGTTATTGTTTCTGGGGAAATGAAAGTCCCCTTGGCATTATAGTGCCCCAGAATCTCGCAGAAATCATGCTCAGTAAGCTGTAATTCCACACCTGTTTTTTGTCAGTTATTTTAGTTTATACTCTGGAGATAAAAAAAAACATTTGTTAATGCATATACTTAATGTAACGCAATGTTTACAACAGAGCCAAACATGGGAAGATTTTGCACAAGATGGCCAGCTGCTGGAACTATGTATCCCTCATGAAATACTTGAAGCAGGGCGAAAAAACAAATACAGGTTACAGCAGTAGAGTGCTTTCTACAAGTAATATAGTGAGTTCAGTTTAGTTGCCCCCAGGAATGGGCCCCTGTGTCACTATTCTGACTGAACCTTAGCTGTACCTTTAGAACCTAAATACACCGATCAGCCATAACATTATGACCACTGACTGGTGAACACTGATTATCTGGTTATCATTGCACCTGTCAGTGGCTGGGATATATTGCTGGCCCTTAAAAGATGAGGCATCAGTTTGACTTTGCCAACTCAAGTTGGAATTTTCCAAGATTTTGGTTCAAATTTCCCTCTTTGTGTTTTCTCAGACCATGGCAGTAACTGTAACTGTTTGAATGTACATATGGGCATGTGAATAGTGTTTTGAAACCGACTTAAAAAATGTCAACCTATCCTTTTAAAATTAACTCTACCAAAGGTGGCACTAATTTAGCTTATGAATGGACACAAGGACAAGAGATGCATTATATATTTTCTCTGTACTGATATTAAATCTTACTAACTGCATAAAATGAAAGCAATTATGAGCTCAACTCCCTCAGAGCACAACCTGTTTTCTTGCCAAGGTCCCTTTAGAATCTGATCTTGTGACACCATTGAAGATGAATGGACTTACGCATATTGTAGCAAAGTCACTAGGTATATGAGGTGTTTCAAGGTTTTAGAACTGCAGCTAGTTTCCCTAGAGTAATCAATCAGTAACATTCAAGGTCACCTTAATATAACTTACCCTGTTTTTTAGTTGGGTTATACAATTGCTGCTAATGCAGATAATAATGGACAACTCAAGTGTGGTTAATATGGATAAACAATAGCAGTTTAGCCCCCATCCTGTGTCACAGGTCAAATTTTAACAAGAATATGTCAGAATGTGTATCTCAGTGTGTTTTTCAGGTCTCGTTGCTGAGCTTTGGTGAGATTATATGTGATATGAATAGTCAAATAGCTAGGTGGGTAGATATATGCTTCTTACACATGTACATATATGTTCATGCATGTGCATACTTAAATATATTCAAGGTTTGCCGAGTCTGCTTTGTATCAGAGTGAGAAAGTGAGAAGTGAGTGAGAAAGTTTTGTAAGGAGCAATTTGTCTTCTGACGAATCAAATCAATTAGCTTGTCAGAGTGCAGAGGAGTGTGGCCCATTATGACACAGCGCAGGCTGCTCCAACAAGCAGCTGCTCAGCTTTTCTATCAAGAAACCTGTCTTGTGTTTGTGATTGGTGCTGTGGGTAATGGGATGCAGATATCGCTCCTCTCAGTCAGTGCCATTATTTATAGTTTCATAGTTAATGGAAAAATTGACAAAGGGCTAAAATCAGTCAAAGCAGACAGCAGCAGGATGTGGGGATGCTGTTGCTTTGTCTTAGTATCAATGACTTCTTTAAAATCTTCTGAATGTGGCACTTTTGGAGTGGTTGAATAAAACTGTACTGTAAAAAGGAGCATTTTAAAAATCATCCAAATCATTATTACACTTGTCTCCTTCCTGTTTGGAGAGCTCTGCTCATGAGCTGCACAGAAAGTGACAGATTCATGTTGTTATGCAGTGTTTAATGTGATACTTCACCCAAATCCTCAGGTTTAAGTGTCAAACAAATATTTCTAACAATTAAAATGATCCTTTCAATCAGCTCTGGCATCTAATAGAAAACTTAAGCACCACTTCACTTCTGGAAAAAGCATAAAAGACCAATTGTTTTGTTAACATTCAGCCACACCCATGTGGCTTTGACAGTGCGTCTGTAGCCAACATGTGAATGAAAGCCCAAAAAGGACTGTATTTTAGCCAATCTGAAATAAATAACTAATGAGAATATTGTAACAGGAGGTGAGTTGACACATTTACTAAAGGCATGATTCAAATGACAATTAAATTTGTCTGCTGTCAGATTAACCCTTATTGAGTCAATTTAACATAAGCACAATGCTCTATGTTTGGCTGGACATATTGCTATAATCTTCTTCTGCGTTGAATTGATAAAAAATGTATAAACCTAATGTAACAATGAGGACTTTTATTGTTGAATTTATGATTGAATTGAGCTGGGAGTGGGAGTAAAGTATTTTTGAACAAATCTGTGAATCGAAAGAAAGCAGAAATCCCATGCACAGCAGTATAAATCATTTGAGGAGGGGTCAAAAGTTGGCTATGGAGTGTTGGTTGGCAAAGCCGAAGACCTCCAACCAGCACAGGTTTTTCAGCCTTGATGTGAAACGCTGGTGCATTAATACCTTCTGATCTGCCACGTGCCTGAGTGTTGCTGCAAAGCATGTGAATCAAGGTAGCTAAGGATTCAAAAGGCTAAGCTAAAGGTGTATGTGAGCAAAATCTAATTCCAACTGAGGTCTTCCCAGAATGGTTTAGAGTGAGTTTTCTCCTGCTTCTTCTCCTGTGAGCTTTGATTTTTAGAGTTTTTTAGGAGTTATATTCTCTGGGGCCTCTGTAAAGTGCTTTCACTGTTGAAAGCACTGTTCAATTACAGCTGAATAGTAGGAAGCTGCCTTTGAAGCATTCTTCAAACATGGCAAAATGTACCTCATGAGTTTAGTTTTTTTTTTTTTTTCCTCTTGTGGCGTTGCCTTCATCGCCGCTTTTCCCTTTCATTCCATCTGCAGTTTACATTTGGGATAGTGGCTAAGAGCACTTGGTCCACAGGTATCACTACAGAGGGTTTCTTGTTATCTGGCCTGGGCAAACAAGCCAGCTATAAGGGCTTTGTGCAGGTACTTGTGATGTGAGGAGAGTGACAGACCATACAGTGGGATATTAGAGAGCCATTTAAAGGCGTGTAAAGCTATTTGAGCAACTAATTATACTGCCAGATAGGCAAATGAGGAAAGACATGAGATTAAGAAGTATAAACAAAAATATACTAGCGCAATAAATTCATTCTAATCAGACATAAACAGGGCCATTCAGTGAAATAATGGGATTATTTACACAATGGCATGACTTGACACCTCTCTAAACCCCTTGTACATTAACAACTGTCCTAATGCCCTATGCAACCAATAGTTATGTTTCCTGCTACAAAAAGACAACGTTCATCACAGTCTACAATAGAAGTGTCTTGTTGCAATGAGTACTGCTAGACAATTTTTGCAAAAAAACCCACAAATGATGTGTTTATATCGATTATACACCAAAGTAGATTACTTTAGGAAATAAACATAGGACAGACCTGTCAGCCATGTTTTGCACAGCTTACCTGAATGCCCATTAAGAGAGGCAAAACTGTTGGCTTGCTGCCAGAGATTGCTGCTTAAGTTAATAATTCCCATTGTCAGCTTTCTTCCCCCTTATCTTCCATCACTGTGCAGTGACATTAGCTAAGTGTAAAATCTAATTTTTCATTTTATAAGATTGTCTCAACTATAAGGAGTCCTCTGCTCATGTTAATGGTCTCCTGACCTTTTCTACTCTTCTCGGCACCTCTACATGCTTCCACTACAGAAATGTAAAAGTACTGAATGATATCCATTAACTCATAGCCAGATGTTTCTGTCCTCCACAGTTGCTGTTAGTTCCTCTACAACAACATTTAATATAATAGAGAGACATCTTCACAGGTGTAAACATAAGATAGAACCCTGTAGATGAGTAATTACAGTAATTAAATGTAACAGGTATAGTTTTATTAGAAACCAACGCAGAGGAGAGACTCATCCTTACATTGCAGATGCATCCTCTGGTGATATCCTACAGTAAAGAAGCATTCACTCCATGGATGTGTCCTTTTTATGACAGATAAACATAGACAACCAGCTCATCTGGATGTTTCTTTTGAAAACTTTGCTAACACCTACTTTTTGCCGATATCACTCCTGTACTTCCTACTCATCATAGAAGTACATAATGTAAAAATGAACAAGAACAGGTTTCCAGACAATCTAATTTTCAGCACCATCTGCGACTTGTCAAAATCCTACTGGTTTACCAATAATGTGAAAAACACTGTAGACAAGTTTAGATGGTATGGAGAAATTTTGTGCAACTTGTTACCTGTTTACTTTTTAACAGTCTACACTGGAACTATGAAATTGTCTCAAATAAGTTTACAGTGTATTTTTCTCTCTCTCTCTCTCTCTCTCTCTCTCTACTCTCTTTTCCTTCATCCAGAGTGAGACAGTAGATGATGATGAAGATGATGATGATCAACTTCAGTCAGACACATCAGCCATAGAGTCCAAGCTGACAAAAGGTAGGACACTAGTACAAAAAAAAAAAAGAGAACAGAAATACAAAGAGCATAGTAGTACTTTTACTTCCTCTGCTTTAGTTCATTGGTTCAGTAAATGATATGCAAAGTCTTTGGGCAAATATGTGCATATGTTGAGTATACATGCACAGTACTCTAGTGTATGTGAGAGTGTGTATGTGTCATTGGTGGTGCTTATGCACAGCTGTCTGTCAGTCTGTTGGTATTCATGCTAGCAATTTCATTCGGTGATATCAGGCTTGAAATGTCTATACAGAAATGAAAGAGTCTGCTTACCACGACACTGGCAGGACCCATAAACATGCACACAATATGCAAATTAAGGCTTGGGATCACATCTATATGAAGGTGACAGGACAGGGGAAACTTAATAACTAGTTGGACCAGGGCACAATTAAACTATCCAACCTCGCATAATAAGGATCGAAGTCCTGTATTAAGATTATTTCGTTAGGGAATGAGGCACACTGGTGACGCTTTAATCTTCTACAAGAGCAGACACATCATCGCTGCTCAAGATCTAAACAGTTGCTTTGTGAGCAACTCTCTCTGTCCTTTTGTTTGTCTGTCTGCATGTTTCTCTTTCTACATTGTATTCTGCTTGTGCATGTCTGTGTGGGTATGTCTGTCTGTTTCTTGTTTCGTAAAAACTCATTGGCTCCCCTTTTCTACTACTTCACCTTCATATTTCTTTCTTTTCTGTTCTTTCTCTCTCTGGCCTTCTCTCGATCTTTCCTCGAGCCTTTCCTTTCGTCCTTGTCCTGAACCTTTTTCTACACTCACTGTCAAGGAGAAGTCTAATTGCTTTAGTCAATGCACTTTTCCTTTTACTCTGAATTTGTCAATCACAAAAAGCACAGGCAGGAATTTTCTACCTGTTATGAACATGTTGACTTCAGAATCCTTTGTGTTCTATCTAAATCAAATTTATCTTCCTCTCTCTTTGTGCCATTCCAGCCTCTTTTGCCCCCATCTGTTTTGCCATCAAGGCAAAAGAAAATGACATGCTGCCGCTGGAAAAGAACAGAGTTCGATTGGATGACGATTCAGATGAGGACAAGGTCTGGTTCAGCTTGGTCTATTCAATGTGTTTAAATCTAGAGTATTTTGGTATGGATAGATCCTTGAAAATATATAGCACCTTAGCACCTTGAAATTAGCAATAAATTATCATACATGTTTTCTTGCAGTTGCTGGATGAGCAGGGGCTACAATCTGTGTTAGACGGGGCTGACATGGTGGAGCCTCCTCCAGTCAGTGCACCAGAAGAGAAGAGGCCCTCTCTCAGTTTGGAGGAGTTGGAGGCAAAACAAGGTAACGTTACTAAAAAATATTTTTTGAATTAATAGTTCAAAAAATAATAAAATAAATAATAAAATATTTATCCTGCCCTTCTCCAAGTCACGTTATGAGTTATTAGGCAGCTCTAATACAGAAAAAATAATGTATGAAAAGGACAGACAAAGATTTGCTACAAATTAAAATAGGTATCTAATAATCACTTGACTTACTTTATGAATTACCTTCAAGCTGAAAACAACGTTTCATTTTTATACTCTTATTTTCCTGTCTGTTTGCATTCAGGCAATCATCTGCTTTATTCTGCCTGTATGACTGACATAATGTTAATAAAGCATCTGACGATGGTTATGCCAGAGTTCCATTTCTTCAGCTTCGTGGCTATTAAATGTGAGAGTGCTAGAATTAAATTCTTTGTCCCAGCCTCAGCATTTAAGTACAGTTGCTTACAAGACACCTCTGTCACACCCACTGGCATGCTGTTACTCTCTGGCAGGGTTGGAATTGGAAAAAAAACAAGAGGGGAAGAGAGGAGATGAATAAATCCATTGAGTCTCAATTATACATTCTCTCAACAGGGTGTACCCTGCAGTAAGAGACAAGCTGTGTAGTATAGCAAACAACAGTCATATATCTCTCCAAAGGCCTAATGGAGATGTATTCTCTCTTTTTTGTCTCTCCCGTTTGTTCCTTCATGGCTGTAGAATATTACATACTGGCTCTCTTCAATCTCTCCTAAACTAAAGTAAAAGAAAACGTGTACAGTTATACAGACACATTTACAATACATGTATTAAAACATTCTTTGCCCTGCAAGAGGTTTACACTCTGTTTGCTCTGATTAGGATTTTAAGGACCTATATCATTATTAATCAGCCGACCTAATAAAATCACTGCTTGTCTGGTGATCTTAACCATTTTTACAGAAACACCACTTTTGCCTATTGCATGTTGCCAATTTTATTTTCAAGGTTAGAGTCACATCTCTAAAATATTCATATATTCTTATGTATCACTGGCTATTACTTTCAAAAGTAATAGGCTTTTTTTTACTAGAAGCTGGACGCCATTGTACTTGAAGCTGATTCATTGCATCTTGTTATACTTTTACACCCTCCAGAATATGCAATTGCCCCCTCTTAGCTACAGAAATTCAGACTGCTCCACCCTCCCCTGCATGCCTCTTTGGATTATCACAAAGCAGCTGAAATATAAAATTATATTTCGTATTTCTTTGTCAAACAAAAACTGACAACCACCATATGCTGAAGCAGTTGCAATCATCACTAAACCATTTGACCTGACGTGTTAGCCACACACACAAGCTTTATTCATCAGTGGTGTAAAAAAAAATCTGAATGTCATCTCACAAAATGGCCATCATACTGTATGCCTGTGTGAGCTGATCAATACTAATAACTGAATTATTACTTAAGCAGGTGCTGAGGTGTCTGCCTCTCAAACCGTCTCTATCAAAGTTAAAATACTTCAATCTCAAGCCAAAAAAAGCTGATGTCAAAGAACAATATTACAGCATTTTCTCCTCAAGTATATTACTTTGTTTACTAGAAATGTATTAATGTGTGTCTTATTTCTGTATTGAAAAATCCTAGCTTAGAGTACATCACCAAAATCATTGTGAAAACCTTGCGAATTTAGTAGATTGTTCTGTCTGGTAAGCATGGTAATTCATGGTTATTCATTATTATTATTAATTCATCATTAAGTGTTATACTGTATACAACTTAGCTTAACGTTCTCAATCAGCCTCTTTTACTATTAGTGATGAATGATTATCTCTTAGAATAGTTTTGGTTGTTTCAGAGATTTCTGTATTTGTTGATGCCATGTACTTTCATCTACCAGTCATAATTGACATTGCTCAAATCAAAGTGTGATGACAGGTTTGTGTTTGTTTGCTAATGTTGCCAGGCCACTGTCAATCAAATATGATCAAACCACATGCACACAGTACTGATGAAGCTGATTAGCTGTATGTTTGAGCATTAACACTGTGCTTTTTTTCTTCACATAACTCATAATTGTTGCTTATTTAGTCAGGAATATTTAATGTTACAGAATAAAAATAATTCTCAAAGGCTTTAAAGTATCTTAGATTTGAGACAGTTACAACAATTAGAAGCTATGTGGCTGGATAGTTTAGTTAAATTTACTGAATTAGATTAAACCTCTCAAGCTTGTAGACAGTACTAGAAAAAACATATTCAAAAGTGACACATTTTAATGCTGTGAAATCTCTATTAACAACAAGAAATTAAAGTGAGTAATGTTAGGAAGAAGTACGTAATTATCTGTCGCAATTAAGTCTTTTTTAGTTGTGCTGTGAATCTGAAAGATGCTTCAATGATGGAGTGATGAAAATGTTAAAAGGCAGTAGAGTAATCTGTTATAGCTCTCCTTACTAAATGTCTATCTCTGTGCTTGTGCTTGATGGAATGATATTTTCTACAATACTTACCATACTCTGATGCAATGGCATGTGGCTATCTTGCAGAGACACATGATTGAGGTGCCAATCCTCTTTGTCAGTTGTTCAGCCAAATGCCCTTAAGACCGTGTAAGTCTTTAAAGACACTGATTTCATCGTTCCATGAGATCTCAAAGGACAGAGCAAAATGTAGTAATCTCCCTTTGACTGGAAAGGCAGCTGTAAGATAGAGCCAATAAAGATGGACGGACAGACAGTTAAGACAATTGTGCTACCTTTCAGCATCAAGGGGGCTGACAGATCCTGTTTAGGTTCAGTGGAACGGTCTTGGGAGTGTAATGTTCTGAGCTGACAGACGGCCAGAGAAAGAGGCCTGAAAAGCCTAATAAATAGCTGACTGAATTGGCTTTGCTGTGTGGCAAAGTGGCTGTCAGTCAGCAGGCCTAACTTGATCAGATAGCAGGAGAATCGGTGGCAGCAGAACGCTAATCTGTATTGATGGGCTGGAAAAAAGCAACACACAGTAAATGCAGTTTTCCAGTGATAAGTACATGAATTGTTTAGGTCGCTGCAAACATTTCCCAGTGGATGTGCATGTTTAATAGTGGTGGGAGAACTCTTAAAATACCAGTATATCTTAAATCAGTGGCTTTGAGGCTTGCCATAGAGACTTGCAGACTTTTATTTTGCTCTCTATGTGAATTCATAATCAATATTTTCTTAATATATAATATATAACATTAAATGTGAAAGGGGTTGTTAGTAGTGATAACTCTACAGAGAATTATCACCTGACTCTGCAGCTCTCCTTGACTTTATGGGGGTTAATAGTGAATTTCATCTCATTGTTTAGCTGTCTGGCCCACAGCTTTCCTGTTTTGAATCACTCTCACCACTTTCACAGTGTCGGTCGCAGCAGGCAGCTGTACACTATCTCATCATTAACATTAAAAAAACTGGAGAGATGGTGTTTGACCCTCGATCGGTGGGGGATCATACTCCACTGTCCATACACAGGGAGGAGATCAAACAGGTCACATCTTATAGGTATCTGGGTTTCCACCTTGATAACCTCTTAAGCTGGAGTGATCATTTAGATAATGTATGTTCCCCGTTTACAGCAAAGGCTGTATTTTTTACGCAGACTGAGGGTGTTCGGTGTCATCCAGAACATCATGTTTTTATTTTATCAGGCAGTAATGGAGAGTGTCATCAGGTATAGGATGACGGCGTGTTTCGGCAATCTCTCCACACAGTCCAAATCTAAGTTGCAGCGCCTGGTACAGACTGCTATGAAGGTGATGGGGAGGACTGAAAAGCTCTCCCTTCAGTCCATCTATGAGCAGTCTGTACTCAGGCAGGCGCGGAGGTTATTGTTGGACCCGTCCCACATCCTTCTGACAGAAGGTACAGAATCCCAAAATGCAAATTTAACTGTTTTAAATACTCTTTTGCACCCACCTCCATCAAAATTTTGAATAGATCTGTACACTGAGGCCTGGGAAGTGTACAATTAACTTAGTGTTCTGTTTGTTTTGTTTTTTTTATTTGCTTTAATCTTTCATTGGATGTGTCATGAGTGTGTATCTAGCCTACGTGTACGTCTTCAGCTGTTACATGTATTTTATGTGTATTTATTGTCTGAAAGGGCAGCTACTACTATGCAATATGCACTTTGACCACCAAATATTTACCTCAGGGACTGGTAGAGACCAAATCAGAGCTTAAAGAGAGTGAATATTTGACCAGGTGTTCCAGAAACATGACTCTAAATGAATGATAATGTTGCTCCGTATCTGCTGGATGTGTAATTAAGCCACTGCGTGTTAATAAGTTAGCTGGTCCAAAAATCTTTTATTAACCTAAATGATTATTTAGGTTTTTTTGGCAACTGACTTATCAGTTAATGGCGAAATATTTTCAGCACGCTGGACAAAAAGTCCATCAAATCAGTCTATAAATGCCACAGTCAGATTTAGCCTGGCCAGGACAGTGTATTGTGTCACTGTCTTGGGTACAGATGGATTCTGCTCCACTTGGCTATTGTTCACACTATACTCAAATATGATTTGCCTCGGCAGCCAGCCTATTTTTAATCCTGAAGAGATAACAGTAGCCCCAGCGGTTGCATAACTTAAACTTGTTTTCCAGAAGCATTTGCTTTATACTTCACTGTCTTGTCTTGTTTTCTCCGTCTCACTCATCCTGTTGCTCTCTGTGCCCTGTCTCATTCTTGTGCTCTCCTTACCTATCCATCCCTTACCCATCTCTGTCACTTCATCTCTTTTCCTCATCTCTCAAAACCGTGCATATTTTCCACCCCCAATTTGACTCAGATGTCTGTCTCCTCTTCCCCACCCACATGTTCCCTCCTACTTTACTTATTCTGTACAAACCTTGAATTGCATGAAATTACCTATCACCAGAGACTTAGTCAGGCCTTATCATTTAGAGCAAGAACTTTGTCAATTCACAGCACTGGGAAACTCAGAAAAAATGCCAGACATCACTTTAGTTAGATGTGACTGTATGAGTGGAAACTTATTCTTAACATTCTTTCTTTCTCATTTATCTTTCACTTTTTGACCTGTCTGTCTCTATTTTTGTGTGTGTAACATTTTGGAGGATTTTGCAGAAATGGAATATAATATAAAACTATGTTTTTATTATTGGAAAGGGAGGGTGAAGCGAGGGAGGTGCAATCTGAAACTACACTTGCGGTCAGGAAAAAGCTGGCCAAGTGAAAAGCAGAGCATAACTACTGTTTCCCCCCTTTCCTCTGTCTCAATCATTTTCTCCGTGCTAATAGCAGTTTGGTTGAGGTATATCTAGCTGTGGTGGAGAAAAAAAAAGGACAATGACTTCAATTTTTTTTCATTTTCATCCAACCTTCTCCCTCCTGTTGTTACCCTCTTATCTCCGTGCCCTTAGCCAAGCAGAAACTGGAGGATCGTCTAGCAGCTGCAGCCAGAGAGAAACTGGCCCAGGCATCTAAGGAGTCCAAGGAGAAACAGTTACAGGCGGAGAGGAAGAGGAAGGCAGCGCTCTTCCTACAGACCCTCCGCAGTCCCTACGCTGGAGAGCCTGAGGCCAAGAGAGCTCAGCTAGACTCATCTGCACAACTTGAGGTATGTGAATGATTGATAAAGGTATTTTGTCAGTATTTGTCCTATGCACATATATATTTTTAACTAGGAGCTTCACCAAATCACCCTCGCCCAAGAAGCTCATCCCATATCACAAGCAAGTCCCAAGTACTGCAGTGTCCTTTCATGTAGCCCTGTCAAAAGTACTGTTGTTTTTTACATTAATTTATAATATTCAAAAAATAAACGCTGCTGGTTTGCGTTCACTTCCTGTGGCAGCTGACTGTTGACCCGTGACAATGAGTGCTGCCAAATCGAACCATCCTGGTTAAAAATGGATGGAGTTTCAGGCAGGAAATTTCACGTTAAAAAGTTTCCAGATGGTTCTTTTGAGAAAACAAAAGTAAGCAGCAAGCCAAATTTAATTACCACAGAAGTAATTCGTCTTTGACCTATCACCTCAAGCAAAACACCCCACCGAAACCATATGGGTCAAAACTGCTGTCCAATTAAGTCGAAGATTTAGTACAATTAGTTAGAGGACGTATTGACTGTGAGAACACATTCACAGAATACACCTCTTCCCCAAGAGGAACCATCATGTCAAGAATACACACTTTCTGTGAAGGAGAGAGGGCTTGGAAGACAAACATGGTTGAGCAAGCAAAGAACGTCGCTCTCTTGAGACCATTGGACTTCTGTGAGCAATGACGCCCAGTTGGGCATCACAAGGCACCTCAATGATAAAGATTGGAATTTTTGCATTTGTTTGCACTAGCTGTGAGTAAAACAGAAAAATGTAAATGTAACTTTATTTGTGTTGATTCTACATTAATTCTCTGATTTCACATTTAAAGCCCCTACAAGGAACTTTCATTTTGTGTTGATTCTAGCAGTCCCTGTGGAGAAAAGCCTTAGTGTTTCTGCCGCCTTGTCCTCGATTTTGATTTGTTGAAGGGGAATGCGACTAAATCCAACCCAGTGGCACACATTAAGAATAACCATAGAAATACCCAATCTTCTGACTGATGGTCTTGTTTGAAAGATAGAGGCATCAATATTAAATTAATCCCAGTAACTTCAAATATAATAATATTACTACAATTTGCAGAGGCATGTATACATGCATAGTACAGAATATACCAGTCTAAATGAATATTTTATACTAACATGCATACAGACGTCACAGACTTAATAGCCCGCCTCAACTTTGCCACCACTCTTTGCTGTTTAGTTTCCACACTAAGTTTGAGATTGTTGTGCAACTACATTTACCACATTTTGTTCTAAAATCCTTGAATATAAACAGTACAACTGTTTAGAAAAATAGGGCTTTTTTTTTTATAATATACAGATGGATAATACAGGGTAGAAGAATTACAGCCACTAATGCACCAATGGTAGTGGTGAATTAAACACCAATTTTATCAGTACAATTGGAAAATTTGAGCCTGCCGCATCAAATTGTTAAAGCCCATACCCCTGGCTACATCTGTCAACTCTAAGGTCAATGGCAATTTTTTGCTAGCTCCCCTTCTTCTTTTTAGCCTCTTTCTTTTGTTGAACCTTTCGTCCTATGATGTATCAGTATTGATTGATGTCGCTGTCAGCTTGAGTCTGTGTATGGCTGTCTTGATAGCAGTTTTCAGTTATGTAACCATGCAATAATAGATTGAGAGATGATTGTCTCATTGCTGAAGGAATATCTTCATGTACATCAGTCACTTATACGTCAGTATTGGGAAACAGTATCTCAAGGTCTCATATGTACAAATCAGATATCACACAACGTTGTTGTTGTTGTTGTTGAGCAATTCCAATCATTAATTTTCAAAAAAAAAGAGAGAAAATTGTTTGTATGCTGAATAAGTTTATCCCTACGCAGCTGTTGGCACTGATAACAAAGCCTAGTATCTTTTCCTTGACTCATAATGTTTTAAACAAAGACAGGCCCAGAGGTCTTTACCAAGATCTTTTTTTGCCGTCTTTGTTGTATGTGAGAGGGGTTTTATGTCTGCATCCTATAGAAAAAAACAGTGTGTTTATAGGGGTGTTTTTTTTTTTTTTTTTAATGCCTTCATATTGTATGGTATTGAAGCTGGTAAATAACATTTAGTGTTTTATTTTTTGGCAGCATGAGATAAATGATTTTTCTGTTAAAAAGATAAATACATAAACAAGTTCAGACCAAAAGTTTATATATATATCCATATACCAAGAAATGTACAGTACTGGTTGTGTGTTGTGCATTTATTGAGATCTATTCCAAGGCTTTATTGGAAATATATGCAAAGGAATAGTAGAATGACTGCAAGATCACTTGCAAATTTGGGGCATCACTGCCAGAAGTGGAAAATCAACCAATGTGGCTCCTGATTAAGGAAAGATTAAAACTGAAACATAGAAAACTGACTTTCTTCTATCCACCGACTTCCCTGTTCACTCTTTTGGCGCCCCAGAGATAATACATGGCATCTCCTGTTAAAATAATCTTTTGTTAAGTGTCATAGGAGTGCTGCAATAATGCACATTTTAAAAGCCTTATGTCTGTCATATTCAACATGGACACAAAAGGCAGGAATACCTTATAGTGTAAATAAGACTCTGTGGTGGTCATTTGATGTGTAGATTGCCTGTCTATTTGATTGATGTTGCATGTCAGCTCCTCATGGGAACCCAACTGTTGCGTGGTAAGCTGGCCTATTGCCTGTTGGGCCAGGTGGCAGTGGGCAGGCTCCTGTCACTATTGCGCCAGCTCTGTCACTTTTCTCCAGATGTTCTGTGACTTCTGCAGTGGCCATCAGAGCGTACATATCTGGAAGGAACTACCAACATTCAGGCCATTGACCTGTTAACGAATAATAGGAAGTTGTAGTTAAACGTAGTTAGAGGCAGATTGTGGACTTGTTTGTTGGTGCTTAGACTACAAAGTACCGTACGTCTTGAAGGACATAAATCTATTTTTATGTAATAAACATTGTTAATTTGTAAACACTGACAGTCCATGTTAAAAAGAGACTTTCCCCCAGGAGAGCTGGGAATGCAGTATGTGCTGGGGTGAAACAGTGGACAGTAACATGGGCATTCAAGGATCTAAGCAACTACTGTTTCATTCGAAGGTTTAAAGAGAATTATGTTCCCTAATTCCAAGACTGCGTCAGTTTGAGATAAGGGGAGCTCAATGGGAAAATGTCTAGAAAATAGCATTTTGTTATCACAGGGCCTGAGGGGGTACAGAAACAATGCCGAAGTCAGATAAATAGGACAGTGCAAGTCTTTGTAATGATTTGATCATTATAGGAAGGACAATTGTTACTTTAGAGCAAGTGAAGGGAGATCAGATTGCAGTTGTTGTAAATATTCTGGTAGCAGCATTTTGTAAGTTGATGCTGTATTTTAAAAGACCAGAAAACAGAATGGTGCAATAATACAGCATGTTGGGGCTTTAGATTTAGGTTTGGGACGGATGTGAATGCTGATGCCAGGTCTTTGTAGAGTTGGCTGACTTGGATCTGTTGATGTAAGCGCTCCATGTTTCCCATAGTGCTCATCATGTTGTCAATGCGACAGCACTGCGGTAGCTAGAGTAAGCTATCATGGGTAAACAGAACCCGCTGAATGTGCTTTACAGGCCGAGCCCTCTTGCTCGTTAATTGCTGTGATTCTGTAACTTTGCTGTTTCTTGGTACATTTTGGCTCATCGTAATATGGTGATGGTGTTGCTACTAATGTTTGTCCCCTGCAGCTTTTCCAACAGAACAATAGGGTGTCAGTTTGGCACAGTCCTAAAGGAGGATTCCACCGATTTGATGCATTTAATTCTGTTATGGCTAACCCGAATGCTTTGACTGCTGTATTTTTCTCATATGAAATCTGAATATTGTCCGGAGTTGTCGCCCTCTGAAATACTGGAGTAGAAAGACTCATCCGTAGTTCCGTAATGATGAATGTTTTTGCATTGATATCAATACTACATGTATTTGTACTTATCTGCAATATCAACGAAAGAATGGAAAACAATTTACAGACAAGCAGAAAAGAGTACGAAGCAGCTACACTCAGTGCAACGTCATCCATGTCATCAACACGCCCAGCTGCTTGCTGTGGATTCTTCAGACATGGACTTTGTTCTAGGGAACTGGCAGGGTAAAGTCTTTCTAATGTCTCGTTCACCTGATTCAAAGATCACATCAGCATCAAAAAAGTTGTATAAAGTTTTTTGTTGCTCTATAAGAAGCCAAACAAAATCTGATATATTGCCTAAAGTGCTATCACTTGAGTCAGCCTCAGAAGTGAGCTGAGTGAACACACCTGAATCTCTGAGATAAACTGTTGGTGGCCAAATTGCATTGTGGGTAATGAAGGTGCCAGGTTTTGACAAAGAAGAAGAATGTGTGGAATAAAAATGACAATATTTCCTGTACTGCTGTATTTATTTTGATAATTTTTTAAAACTTCTGAAGGGTGCTGAGAACAGCAATGAATTGGAAAGTAATGAATGAAGGAGTATAACTCTTAAGTTCTCTCTCAGGCTGCCATCAGTGCTGGATTTTGAAACAGATTTTGTGGTTGAAGCCTTAATTAGTGACCAGGGAGGCTCGCCTACTTCTCACAGTGAATCTCCTACTACACTTTATCATCGATTTATTTAAGGAATTAGATAGAGATTTCTGCTGCCTAGCTTATTTTATCATGTCCGACAGTGCACACAAAGAATTACAAGAAGTTAGAACTCATGTTTATTCCTCATTATCATTTGATCACATGCTGTGTGTAAACGGAAAATATAGAGAGGGAGGTATGATTATTGTTGTGACTGTATAAGCTGTTTTTGTTTGTTGTTTTGTCAGTGTTTCATAGTTAAAGTGATTTTATTTTCTTTGAGCATGCAAGATAATAATGGATAAAATTAATGTGTGTATTACTGGGATTTAAATTTTAATTAATCTGTGCATGGTTTGTCTTGTGCTGCTGTAGTTTTTACCTAAATCAGACTTATTCCTTGTCGTTTCTCACACGCGACCAACATGTAAATTTGTCTTCACGTTTATGCAATGATATATTTTGTATTAGTTATTTTTGCTTTATCTTTGCAATGACGTTAATCTAACGTTTTCCAACTTCGATTGTATACGAGTAATTCTAGTTTAACATGAGTCATCAAGACCAAAACAAATCTTTTCACTGATCAATATTGATCTCTTGTGGCATATTGATAGAATTTGCGTTCCTCCTCTCTTCTCCTTTCCTCAGTTTTCCATCTCTTCTCCCTTCTTATCCAACTTTTTTACTCCTCTTCCTGTCCAAACGTGCGTATCTTACCAGAGCAGGTGTGAGAGGGCAGACATTCTCTCAGCCTGGTGTTGGGATAAGCTTCCCAAATGTCAGTCCTAATTTTAAACCAAGCCTTGCTTCCTATCATTTCATTGTCTGTCCTTTAGCCCAGACCCCAGATAGTGTGAAAACAGAAAGGTGTAATAAATATTCTTCCTCTCTTCACTTCTCTGCCTGTTTTTGGATACTTATTGATTGTATTCTGCTGTGAGCACTTTCTCCTGTTTTTATCTGGCCTGTACTGCCTTTGCCTCACTTGCCGCTTTCTTTGATCATTATCCTCTCACTCTTTAGCTTTCTCCCTCCCTCTCTCTTTTTATGCTCCACCCATTTCTTACAGTTTTGAGCAGATGGGTAGGAGGTGGGGTGATTGAATTGAAGAGATTGAAGTCACACCACACATGCATTTCCTTTCCTTTCCTCTCCCTGTTCATTACTTATCACTTGGGCTGTCGTATCATTTATGTTAATGTTAGCATAGTAAGTATGTCATTTGATGTTTCCAGATGCCCTTATAGTACCATGAATGCATACATATGTAACACGGGTGACCCCAGGAGCAATCTAAGATCCAACCCTGGAAGATAAAACCTGACCTTGGAAGATTTAGTTCCATGTTTAATCCCCTGATGGACTGAAGCTGTCTTTTCACTGTGAATCCAGCTCCAGGCCAGTTTAATATGAGCAGACAGACCCACGTTGGAGTAATTAGAGAAACTTAGCAGCTGACAGTTGTAACTCAGTGTGTAGCCAAAGGGCTACACTGTGTTGTGTATCCCTCGCCATTTAATCAGCTGAGTAAAGATGTTTTCTTTCCTTTTTTTGAGGTATCCAGTTATGATCCTTTGCCCTTTTTGGTGCACATATGATTGTTTATAGTACCTTTTTTTTTAATCTGTTTATATATTTATTATTTGTTTCTGTTGTTGTAGTTACAGCTACACTACTCAATATCGAGAAGAAATCAAGCAGATATAATAAGATGTTTTTATATTTCATTCGGTTTAATTTTTCTAACCAATGTATGTAAATATGGAACAATAATATTTATTTACCATCTGTGTTGTATTACTCTGTAACACTGAAAAGGATGAACATTTCAAAAATAAACCTCTAATCTCTAGGCACAGCCAAAGTAGTGCATCACATGCCCTCTTCATGTGGCCCCCATATTGATTGTCCACAGTTGTGCAGAGACATAAAGCATCTGGGAATTCATTCATTGGCCCTAATGTCAGAGAGGGAGACCGACTGTTTAATGTAATCAATACATTGTCTGTTTTCTTTTTCCTTTTAAACCAATTAAAAAGAAAAAGTCCCGTGTCAAACTCATGCCTTCACTGATATTTCTGCTCTCTGTCTTATTCTGTCTACCTTTGTCTCTAGATGCAAGAAGCCCTGTCTATTCTGTCTTACCCTGCATCTCCTCAAGTGTCCTCTGCACCACCTGCGTTTCCTCAGGATCAAAGAACCACCGTGGACAACCAAGGAGCCCATCGCAGCAGGGAGGCCCCATCCTGCTCATCCTCTTACACTACCTCCAGAGGAGCAGCCAGAGACAGAGACCGAGACAAAGACAGAGAGAGAGACAAAGACAGAGAGAGGGACAAAGACAGAGACAGAGACAAAGACAGAGACAGAGATAGAGATAGAGACCGAGACAGAGAAAGGAACAAAGGAAGGGACAAAGACAAAAAGAAGAAAAAACACAAGAGGAGGTCAAGATCGAGGTCAAGGTCAAAATCAAAGTCAAAGAGCAGACACTCCCTTCCCAGTGCCTACAGGAGAAACCGCAGGTCCCGGTAAGACACCTTGGACATAGCCGTGTACTCAATCCAAACTGACAGTGCTAGGGCTAGCAATCTTCAAGTATCTAACAATTCAATTTGATCGTGATTCCAGGTGCTGTTTTTAATTTCACACTCATTCGTGATGCAGCTCAACTTTTGATATAAACATTGTTTTTCTCACTGTATGACTATTTCATGCTCTTTTTTTTTTTTCAATTCAACAAGAAGGATTAGCCTGACTTTGCTCAGTGCAGTTGGTCAGTTCAGATCTTTATTGACCTCAGGTGCTGGCCCCTACAGAGGCAGCACCTCACAAGGAGAACTTTCATCTGTTGTTTTATTTTGTTTGTATTGTTTTTTTGTTGCCTTTCTGTAGAAATAATCTCCTTATTTGGGACATTAAAAACAAACCGAAACATGCAGTCCATATTCTTGGTATTCTCCTGGTTTATGTATGACCAGGTGATTAGCTGAACCTTCACAGGGATGATCAAGAAACTGAACTACGGTACTTTAATATCTCCACAAACAATATAAACAGTATTGCATATTTCACCTAGCTGAAAGAATAGGTTTGTGATTGGTACAGCTTGGTACTTCCCTTGAAAAGCAAGGGAAAAAAAACGTGAAAGTGAAATCAATTGTTAAATCAAAGCAGGGCTAAATGAGGAAGAATGAAGGAATAAAAGATTGAGAAATAACATCTGAAGGAAGAATTTACACAAAGCTAAAGGGTTGAGAGGAAGTGATCAAAGTAAATAGTATTGACCAGACAGCTTTCTTTTACCACCTACATTAACTCAACTGACCCGTCCTTTTTGGCTTTGTTTATTTAGAAAATAGGTATAATTTCCTTCTCCAGCCCTGACTATTTATGCTCTGCATAAAAGCCAGTGGGAGACAATGAATTTAGACCTGCCCTTTATGGAAAGTATTTAGAAAATTGAATTAATCTCTTATATTATCCATAATTATTTAATCCAGTTTCTTTTCAGGTTAGTTTACAAAAATGATATTTATGTATTGAGAGTCAATGTGATGTAATGTTTAAGTAATTTACTGAATTATAATGTGTTTTTGTCCTGTGACCCAGTTGCAGAGCATTTAGACCAGCTGCCTTAACGTAAATTGTGCCACATGTATTGGCTTTCTTTTTTTATCTTGCACATCTGTCATCATTTTATCACTCTTGTTTTTCCCTCTTCTGTTTTTTGTTCCTCATTTCAAATTCATCAACTCATCTACCAAGCTCCGTCCTCTCTAATTTAATGGCTTCTCCTCATCTTACACACTCTTTGTCCTCCTGCCTGCTCAGATCCCGCTCACACTCCCCGGGGAGAAGGGACAGGAGGGGCCCCTCGTCAGAGAGGAAACGAGAAGAGAGAGAGCGGGAGCGCTATCATCCCAGCAGCAGCTCCAGCCTGCCCAAGGGGCATTCGAGATCCAGGTAACCCTAACAGCAGATGTCATCAATCTGTGGTGGAAGGGTCACAGAGCGCCACATACAGCTGTGTTTATATCAACACTGAAAGCATTGATAATTCCACCCGTCAGGGAAGGGCACTCACCTTAATTTGATAAACAGATAACTCTGTGCATATCCACTATACACTGAGCAACGTTTCAAATATGTCCTAAAGCGTCTTTAAGGATAGCTTTAGCCAAAATGCTGATAACAAGAAGAAATATACTATACCCAAAATAACCTATAAAAACTGCAATGGACAGCTTCTACATGCATGAATTTAAAATGAACCTTGCAAGGCAGCTAGACTCAAAAGATAAAATCACAAGATCACACAATAATCTTGCCAGGTTTCAATCTATGCGTTTGTGGCCAGTATGGTGTACCGGACATGGCTGTCCTTTGAAGTACTAGCAGCTAGGGGTGAGAGAGAGAGAGGTGTGACACAGCAAGAAGACACATTAAACAACACTTGCTGTGTTTACTACTGTTCAATTTGCAAAAAAACAAAAAAAAGCATTTTGCCTGTTTGCTGCTAGCATCAGTCATATCAGAACTGGAGAGTATTTCTTCATTGGCAGAAGAGCAAAGAACAGCTCTCTCTTCTCAGGCAGACATTAAAGCAGTTATTGCTTTTGTCTTCCAGGTCCCCTCCTGAAAAAAGGAGGTCATCCTCAGGACAGATGCAAACTGTGGGTTCCTCTCTCTCACCATATTCAGCTAGTCCCACGTCCAGCCTGGCCCACTCGAGGTAACTCTCTACAAGCCTGTCAATCAACCAGCTAAGCATTTATATTGCTATATCCCAGGTGTAAGAGTCTCTTCACTATAGAAACAAAAGGTTGTTGGAAGGACTTGGGCTTACTGAGCTGAGAAGATACAATTTACACTTCCTTTCCTTTTAATGTGTTTTATTAGAGCCAATTGATTGTTGCCTCCAGGCCTGTGAAGATTCTGTCTCTCATGAAACAAACAGAATCTTGAATAAACAGACACATCTAATAGTTCGGTACTTCAGCAGTTAGCTATTATAGCAGCATGTCAAAATTGTGCTGATACGCTTTGTAATAGGCCAAACTAAAGTTGATGTTCAGTTAATTTCCTCTCTTTGAAGGCTTTTGACAAACATTATCAACACTCTGCTAAAAACATGTTTTTATTATTATTTTTGTCATGGACACTGAAGCATTGACCATTTGCAAACCCCCTCTGTATCCGAGTGTAAGCTACATAGTGGCTTTCTTCTGCTTTTTATTGGATTTGGGGTAATTTATACTCCAGTAACCCCAGCCAAACGTGTTAGCTAGGATGGCGTTACCTTCATCAAACACATTGGTCCTCATCCAAAAAGCCTCAAAGTAAAACAAAGTGTTTGAAAATATGAATAAAAAAGCATGCATTCTTGTAGAGGTTCAGTGTGTAACATTTAGGAGAATCTTTTGGCAGAAATTGAATATAATATACATAGGTATGGTTTTATTAGTGTATAATCACCTAAAAATAACAATTCTTGTGTTTTCGTTACATTAGAATGAGCCGTTTTTATCTACAGAGTGACCTCTTTTATGGAGGCCGCCGTTGATCCACTATGTTTCTACAATTGTCCAGAATCTTGCTCAAAATAAAACCTTTTGAAAAAGTAGGGTGAGCCACTTGCAGGTACAGACCATTGTGTATAAAAATTTTAATTTTGTATGCACAACCAAAGAAATCCCTGCCAAACATGACAACTGACACGGTAATTCAGCAAAGAACCTAAGAAAGCTGGAAACTGGCAGTAAACAGTTTAGCTTAAGTTGCAGGTGTGTGATAGAAAGGAACACAGAAATGTTGACCTTCACTTTGCATTGAGTCATATCACTGCAAGCAAATGTCAGTGTTAATTATTACAGCCCTCAAATCGTCACACATATTGAAGCAAATAACTTTGGGCAGGAATGTCAGATGTTAGATTGGAAGTGCATATCAGTGAAATTGATTTGTAGGTAATGGAATATCACTGATATGTCACGCATATTAGGTGAAAGAGCATCAGTCGCCTTAAAGCTCAAACTGGTGCTTTAGCAGATAGGACAACTGAGGCAGGATCTGGAAAGATGAGGAGCACACAGTTATAGTAAGAGCTTTAAATAAGATGTAACAACTAACGTTTCAACAGAAAGCAAGTCTGCTTCAGAGTAAGGAGAGGCAGTAGTGGTGTAGACGTTAAACCCGTTAATAGCTTAGAGGATCGACAGGTTCTGGGCGTTGGTTACGTCTAGTAAGCCAATGCCATATTACCACAGATTATATAAAAAATAAAACACACAATGGATTGATTTCTTAGAATATTCACAGAAAACAAGATTAATTAAATTCCTCATTTAATCCATATGGTTCAGTTGTGTTCAGTGTGTAAATCTGTTAGCTTTAAACAGTTTTTTTACAATGTCCCCTTCCCTAGGGGATAAGGAAATCTTTTCGATACCCCAGAATTTCAGAGTAGAGGCATATTCATGATTTTCATTCACATAATGGCATGCCATCGCTACTAAATATTCTTAGTATGAATAGCAGACTCTGCAGTCCTCAGTTTTAGAGCTTGTGTTCTCCCCTTGCAGCATGTACCCTTGTGCATAGCTAGACAGCCAGTTAACACTCAATGGTCCAACATATATTCAGTTGTCGGTCAGCACCAATGCAAATAAATTTAATGTATTTTATGTTCTAACTTATTAAGCTCACTTTTTAACTTATTTAAATGTGTAACTTAACTTTAAAGGCAGCACAGCTTGTTTAGTTTTGCCAACATACAACAGACAGCAGGAACATTTCAGTGTATAGATAACTCTTCAATTTTTAATTTTTTAAATTTCTTCTCCATGTGTGGGCACACAAATGGTGCATGTTTAATTTCGGTGGTTTGCATCAGTGGAGTTAAAGCCGTTACCACAGTGATAAAAGTCAGCAGGGGGAGATGGTATCCAAGTGGACAACGGAGGTTTGAAAAATATGAATGGATGATGATTTAAAGATATCCCTCACATAGGATCACTTTCTAGGACGTGTCAATGTTTAATGTACTTTTTTTTTTTTTTGTTCTGTACAGACTACTTGATTGTAAACAGTTGAAAAGCAAACTCTTCTGGAAGTTTGAACTTTTTGTCCAATAGGGTATCACTGTCTGTGCTCACTGGTCGCTCATAGGCTGAATCTGTACATCTAATAGTGTCTCCCCTGTCCTTTGGTTCAGTGGCTTTTGACTGGAAATCATCATCCAAACTAGAGTTCCAGAGTAGCCTGAGAAATTGTCCTACAGGGATATTTTTAAAAATGTTTCTTGAGTAATTACTGTATGTTCTGGGAGTCTTTTTCCTGTTTTCAGTCTGCCGTTATTACATAGGAAATCTAAAAAGTGAATATGTTTACCATTGTAATCCATAGCAAGGCACAAATAATCACTTTTCTCATTGTGGTATTGTAGAAAATAATACCGTTCTTGAGTGCTGCCTTTCCAGATTATTAAGATATCATCATATCTCTTAAACCAAGCAATTGTAGAGAGGAATGGATTTGCAGGACTTAAAATCGTTTTTTTTTTCTATAAACCTATTACAAGGCAAGCACATGGAGGGCAAAGGAACGTCCCATAGCTGTGCCTTGTGCCTGTAAGATGTTTGCTTGAATATTAAAAAAAAATAAGAAGTTCACCAAGAGAATCACCTCAGTCAAGGTCAGCAGAAAATCATTGGGAGACCAAACATTTTCTACTCACTGGCTGCAGGGAAATACATTGGAATTCAAGTTTGAGGATAGGAAAGATTGAGCTGAGGAGAGAACATTTATTTAAGGTGTACATTACTGAAACATTTTGAAAAGTTTACCTTCAATAAAAACAGATCAGCCCAAACGGAGGGAGAAAATCCGAGCCACCTTTGTTGAGGGCCGACTCTTCATCGGCTGTGAGTCTCATGCCAGAGACCTTGATCACAGTCTCTTCCTGCGGCACTGGGAGAAGCAGAGGGTGGAAAGGTCGCCTGCTTCCTCATGTACCCCACTGTGTCTTCTTTGTCGCAGGGTGGCCTTGTGATAGAAAAGGATTGGAGGATCTCTGGTGTGGCATCTTAACACCACTGGCCATTTCACCAGCAGTGTATGAGTTTGTGTCATTGTGTGTATTTGACCCAGTAGGACGCTGCCTTGATTCAAATCTCTTTTTTGGTCCTTGCTTGTATATAGTATATATAGTGCCATCAGCAAATGTCAAATGTCACCTCATTAAAGGCTCTTAATATAACCACATGCTCGAGATCTTATCCAGGCGATGTAATGTATTAGGTTTTATAGATCACTTACATACAAACCACAAAAAATCTTGTAGGCTAAATGCAATGCAATAAACCAGTCCCGCTTTACGTGGAAAACAAATCATCATTCCCATCAGTTATAACATGTTGCTCTCTACGGAAGGATCATGAATAAAAGCACACAATATGAAAGGAGCTGCAATTTCAGTTTTTACCATAGAAAATTAAACGTATATTACTGATTAATGATGTGCTGAATCCTACCTCTGTTTATCTACTCTTCTATGTAATTAGTCTATATAATTGGAGCAACTGGTTCAAGGTAATGTTTAGCAACTGGTGAACAATACTTGGCTAATTTGTGGAACCCAGGGTAACTTTTTTTTAAAACTCTGATGTTTTCCCTAAAAACATTTCTGAATGTTGACATACCATGTAAATGTTTTTTGCTTGTACAATAGAAACATAAAGGCTCCTTTTTGTGTGGGTTTTCTTGCAACTAAGGTATTTTATAGACCACAATTTAATGTTTTTAAAAGCATCTTTTTTTGTCCAGCATCCAACCTCACCAGTATATCAGCCAGTCAATGCCCTTTGTTAAGGCGAGAATTCTTTAATTTCTTTGATTCTTTTGCTTTTTATCTGTTGTATGTAGTAATTGGTCCATCTTTTCAGAGAACATAATTATTAGAGAGCAGAACCATTCCAGGAAGGTGTTTTTCTAACATTCTGCTAAGGAGGTTCAATAAACTGTGTACGGATGGAGCTGGCTGCTGTCAGTTTGGGTTTTGAAGTTTACTTTCTACAAGGGATGGAACTAGAGCAGCATACCACAACAATCCAAAAGTGTATGTAAAGGGGTGTAATACCCAAGATCGACTGACTGAATGCACTCGTTTTTCAAATTGTCCCACTCCTTCAGTGGACTGAAGCCTTAAAACTCCATAACATCAGCAGCAGTCTGCGCTGCAGTTTCTTGTCACCTGTTGTGTTCAATCAACTTGATGCGCATGAGTTTTTCTATTTTAAAAATCTCTTGATAAATTATGAAGTGTTAGATGGTCGAGAGATTAAAAGCTTTGAACAGAGCCTTGAAGTTGAATTTGAGGCCTGCGACTTTGGCACTTTTGCTGTTTGTCTGCATGATTATATACTTGGCTGCGTTTGACATTGCTGATGTGGTGGTTAGGTTCTTTGCAGGTCACATGCCATTCCTCTACCTCCCTGTCTTTCCCCCCCTCGTCTCCCTTCCACGGCTCTCGATGCCTGTCCAAATTTGAACATTTCAGAAGATATCATGAATATTGTATAGCTTCTCCTGTTAACATGATTGGTTTTCTCTTCTTTCTCTCTTTTTTTTCCTTCTTTGGTTCCCCCTCTTTCTCCATCTCTTCTCTCTACAGGGGTGGTTCTCTGGAGAAAGACAAGGCAGTGTCCTCATCCATAGTATCCTCTGTTCAGTCCAAAATAACTCAGGTATTGTTCTTTGCTTTTATCTCAGATATGTCCTCTCCTGAACTTTACAGTCTACTGAATGTAAGTACTGAGTGTTCTTTGTTTCCATCATGCAAAGAGGATGGATGGGAAGTGCTGTTCATTTTCACAGACAAAAATATAGCCTAGTCTTTCACCTGGACCTTCTTGGGAAATGTTACTTGAATTTATATTTTTAATATTATCTACATATTCTGCTTTATACTGTATGTTTGTACAACACAATTTTGAGATCGAGATTGACTTTCAGTTCTGTCAATTCTCTGAGAAGCTTGTGGTACATTGAATAATATGTGCTCCAGATATTGTTTCTACATCTACAGCATAAGGTAATATAAACACCACCATTAGCCATTTGCTACCATTTTAGCTTACTAACAAATCCACCCATTGCACTCCATCTGGAAGTGTAGCCAAGAAGTTAAAGGCTAAATATTGGTTGCTGAGTGACAGGCGAATGCAGAGACCTTGGAGAACTTACCCAACTTACCACAACTTTGGACTTTAGCTCTCTGGTGAGCAAGGAGGCATAGCTAGTGTGGTGTCCTGAAATTCAGACAAAAACAGTAAAAAACTACTTTTACTGGGGTACTGGAGGATAGGTTTTGTTGTTCCTCCCAAAATTAAAATGTATTAGGTCAAACCCCCTGTGAGACATTGGGTTAGCAAAAGTTTCAGTATTTTTTTAGTGTGCTTTTTGCCTCCTCGGCTGCAGAATGGCGGGTTGTTGGGTTTGTTTTTCATTTTCACCTTTAAGCAGCTATAATCAGTGTTTTTGTAATAACAAATATCAAATCACAATGTGAAGAAAATGTGAAAGGGGCCACTTGTAGTGATGAACCTGCATTATCACCAGCTCCCCTCGACTTTACAGAGCTTTATTCATCGAGTTACAGTTCATTATTTAGCTGTCCGCCCCACATCTTTTCTGTTTTGGTTCATTCATTGGTTCACTCATCGCTCTCAGGATCATTTCTTTGCTCAGCACCAAAGGGCGAACAGACACAGTTAGCAACTAGCTGGTGAACGCAGTGGAACATTTAGCAGCTAAATAGCCAGCTATCTATCTCAGGAGTTGGGAGGGATAGAAACTGAGCTAAAAGAGAGTGAATATTGGACTTGCATTCAACAGGTGGCCAGAAACACGACTCCAAATGAATGATAATGTCGCTCAGTAGCTGCCAAATGTGTCAATAAGCAACTGCTAACATGTTTGTCATGTCAACTTAAAGGCTGATATGTCAGTGTTGTGTTCAAAACTGGTTTCCTCTTTCCCCTGGAGGTGGCCCAAAACAGGTTTTACAAAAAGCATGTGGTGATATGTTCTTGACTGGATGACTGCCACCGTCACCAAGGGCTCACATAAGCCACAGCCTCCTATTGAGTGTTAAAGACAGCACAGACACTTCCATCCGTAAAATTACAGCAATCACACACTAAGCTCTGCATGTAGCCACTTTCTCAGAATGACAATGCTTTGTGCTTTGTATTTGCCACGTCAGTGTCCTGCTGGATTGCGCTAGGATTTAACAGTAATTCAATTGAACACTTGCATAATATAATTTCTGACACTTTGGTTGAGGTGGCGCAGACTTCGGAACATGGCATCCGTTCCTGTAATTTTCTACACAGGACAAAGGCAGCTAGAATTTATCCAACTAAAAACACTTGGTCCACTCTTTTATTTTGTGAAGGTTAAATGCATTACATGACCAAGAGTATGTGCTCATATGTGAGCAGATATAACTATGCTGTAGCATTAGGATTTACCTTTTTTTTTGCCTCTAAGAGGACTCGGCCAAACCATTAGAAACAGCCCCAAACTAGCAAACAAGGGTACTATATATAGTGCTGTCACATGCTTTTGACAGGGTTGTATGTGACATATTAAATGTAGCTAAGTGATGAGCTGAACATTGCGTCCCTCATTTGAATTTTGAATGTGAGCTCACAACGTAACCTCATACACATGTCGGCAATAAATTCTGAGCTCTGTATATATTCTCCCTGCTCCTCTCCCTGTTTAAAATTATAATACTGAATTTATGGCGCCTATCGTGCTCTCGCAGAAACACACCTTCATCAAATGCATGCACACGTACAGGTTCTGGAAGAAAATATATTATATATGTTGTTTGATGACTAAAAAGCAAATAAGCTGGATAGATGGATTTCTTTTTCTAAAGGAAGTTTGTGTTACTGCTCTATTCACTGTTAAATGAGCAAAAAGCTTCCGAAGTGCTATCAATATTAATGTGAGCTGCAAGCCAATGTTCACTTCAATCAGTTATCATTTAGACAAAAAAGAAAGTCACACACTGTTCCCTCTTCAATTTACTGCTTTTTTTATTTAGCTTTCCTCTGTCAACACTTGCAGTATGTGCAATATTGTGATATACTGTTCATTTGGTTAATTCTTCTGCTGTGGAAACATGGAGAAACATCCCTCAAGACAACATTTCAAAATCATTTACCTTGATTTTTCAAAAGCCTTAAATCATTTCCAAGATGAAAGACATTCTCGGAACTGTCTCATTACTTTAATTATATGTGCTTCTTTGCATTTTCAACCTAGATAGCAAACTTTGATTAATAATACTGAAAATCCAGTAATTTTATTTCTACTTGTTACTGCATTTCACAAAGTGATGCAATATTTTGATGTATTGATTCTCACGCAACCAGTGTGCAACTAAATGTGTTAAAGACGGAGAGTGTGTAGGTATTGACAGTAAACGTGACCTGTAGCCAAAGTGATATCTTCTAAATAAATTATTTAGTGCTAAAAGTATAGAACATGTGGTGTAGGATCACATATTCCTACAAAACCTGTGATGCACTGTAGAGAGGCTGCAGCGTTGGCCAGAATGCAAGAAGCAGTGGGACTTGTGCTAATGGAGGTCAATAGAGTGTGAATGGAGAGGCAACACAAGCAATTCTGTGAACACTGATATAACTTACACTGAATTTGGGATGTTTTCTCCCTTCTAGCCATGGTCCACTGTGTGTGTCTGTGTGTGTCTGTGTGTGTCTGTGTGTGTCTGTGTGTCTGTGTGTGTGTGTGTCTGTGTGTGCGTGTGTGTGTGTGTGTGTGTGTGTGTGTGTGTGTGTGTGTGTGTGTGTGTGTGTGTGTGTGTGTGTGTGTGTGTGTGTGTGTGTGTGTGTGTGTGCGTGCGTGCGTGTAGAAGAGAGAGTGACAGAGTGTGTGTCCGGTGTTTGTTCACTGATGCACAGCAGATTAAAAAAAAAAACCCACATCTCACATCCCTTCTCTTTCATCAACAACCTCTTATTTCTTTCTCTTTCTCATTGTGTCGCACAAACAAACACTTTCTTCTCCTGGCTTCATCGCAACATACCAGCGTAAGAAAGCTCATGAAAGCACGCTGTTCACTGCTGTTGCAACATTCACAGATTCACAACCACTAACTACTTATACCCCATCTGTGATGTTTTACAAACACATCTTGAATAATTCAGCACATCCTCATCTGCCTAATGGTCTCTTCTTCCCTGAGGGTGCCTGGTTGCTATTCGCCTCATCCCATCTCTCATTTTCCCTCCTGTTTGTCTGTTTTTCCTCTGTCTTCTGTCCCCTCTTCTTCTCTGCTATACATTTCTTGTGGTTTGATAGATGCTTTGTGCACTTTGAGAGTGGCTTTTTTAGATTTGCATTGGGTCTTTTTTAACATTGTAGTATTTCTTTATTCATTTATTTTAGATCTGTATTAGTGTATGTGTTGTTGTTTTTTTTCTTTTTGAAAGTTAAGATAACAGAAAGGCTTGGTCCTAACTTACTTGCCTTCAAGACATGAAAAGAGATAAAGAGAAAAGTTGAGGAGAACTTATCCCAGTGAATGAGATGGAGAGAAGCTCAAGATGTTGCATTGCTCCCTCCAGATATACTACAGTAAATTAGAGTTTTACGCACGTAACAGATTTCTCTGAGTAACCAGATTACTTAACTGCATTAACTCATTGGAGGAGATAAAATGACAAACTGTGACACTGGATTACACGCTGCACCATTCCCTGTGTAGCTCTCATGTACAGTAGGAAGGCAATTTGAATCCCATTCAGGAATGTGACTGCCACTAACAATCAAAACTACTACATAGAGAGGTTGTTACAGACTGTGAATACACTGAATGACTATAGCTAAATAACTAACAAAATAAATGGTAATTGCAAAAAAAAAGGTCTTTAAAGAAGCAATGTGTAATTCCTTGCCACATGCTGTAAAGGATTGGGGGCAGAATTTATTTCACCTCCTCCCACCCTCGATGTGATGATACTGTTCAAGATTGTTTACAGACTTGCAGACAGATTGTTTACTTTCAGAACTAACCAGGTAGCTCAACTTCCGCGCTTACTTTTCTCCAGGCGATCTCATTTCTTCTCCGGTCTCTATAAATATGAAGTAGTATCATAGAGCTAGAGTAACAACAGTGCAACTGCAGAGAAGCGAGAGTGAAGATAAATCCACTTTTTAATCCCAAAAGTTTAAAAAATAAATAAACTGAGCTCTTCTCCCACCGGTTAACGGCTCCGGATCCGAGCAAAGTTCGTTGACTGCAGGTGTTTATTCCTCCATGCGTACACCTATTCCTCCGGTTCTGCCCCCGGCTCTCTTTCCTGCAGCTACCCGGCATTAATAACTGTCTGGGCAGACTGGACACTGCATTGACTCACTATCACCTCTCAAGGAACAGGTCGTATAAGAGTGAATGGGTGGCGGCTAGTTAGATCGTCATGCTAATTTCAGTAGATACCTTCGCAATGCATAGACGTCTTTGACATAACGTCACAGAGCTTACCAATTCACGCTCTGTTTATGATCTAATTACTATAATAACTATAATTCTGGCCATATATCACACATTGCTCTTTTAAGTGTCACCAATGCAGAATTAAAACCAAAAAGACTAAAAGCTGCGGAGAAGAATCAGGTGGACAGCCTGCTGCCTGTTACCGCAGGCCTTTCACATCCAACCTTACTCTGCCAGTAAAGTCTGTTCTCTTCCAAGACAGGGTCGGTAATCTGGGTGTCCCCTATAATTAATTACATAATAAAAGAACAATTCAATTACAGGACCTCCATGGGTAAAACGTACCTCATCAGATTTAAATATGCCGCTGCTCAATTACCGTGTTGCTATAACAGTCTCAGTCAGCTGTGGGTTTGGATTATTTAACTATTTAAATTATAGAGATTTGTGTTTCATAAAGCAAAGGATCATATAAGGGATATTTAGGTTATGTATGTATGTATTGTTTATTGTGGGCATCTTTAGTATTATGTAACCATAGTTGGCTCTCCTGTGTGACAGCTGTAATGTAACTTGTGATGATTTATGAATGTAATTGACTTTTTGCCATTCTTTAATTTGCCAGAATTCAACAGTTAGTATTTACCACTCAGTGGATAATAATTTGGGGCATTGTTTTTTTTGTCACATTATGTTAATGTTAACACTGTGTGTGTGTGTGTGTGTGTGTGTGTGTGTGTGTGTGTGTGTGTGTGTGTGTGTGTGTGTGTGTGTGTGTGTGTGTGTGTGTGTGTGTGTGTGTGTGTGTGTGTGTGTGTGTGTGTGTGTGTGTGTGTGTGTGTGTGTGTGCTGTATATTCTAATGCACCAGGGTTTAGAGATAAACAGCCTTCTGAGTGATTTGATATGACAGCTCCTTCCCTCTGTGATTACAGCTGTTAATTTGTCTCATCTGTCAGGAGAGCTCAAGGGTGGATATTTGTCCATGCATGTATGAATCACTCGCGGGATCCAAATTAACACTTCCTGTTCAGCAATACAAGCATTTACCCGTTGGTCAGCAAAGTTTCCATTTTTACCTGGAGAAGGGAGGAAGAAATGGGTTTTGCAATTTGGCAATTCCCTGTTTCCTACAATATATTTTATTTTTATATTTATATTTATATCCTCATTTTTTGCAACTGCAGCTTTCTACAAATTATTGCTTTTTTCCTATCATGGACCTATTTACATAATACATTTACTGTTGGCCACTGAGCAGGTCAGCTGCTGAAATTGAAGTGCCTGTAGATAGAAGGTTTTGGGAAAGAGCAATATGTCTAATTCTAACCGCTTACGGTTATCATTTTGTACTTAATGTGTCATATATTTTAAGATGCATTGAGGAATTCCTGATGGCTCGAGGGCAGGAAGCACACTCCAAAACAAACCTAAAAATATACAATAGCATATCAGCCGTAAACATTAGATCGACACTCGTGGAAGAGACACTCTTATTTGAGGAGTTGAGGGACACTACCATACAGAGCGGAGCAACAAAGAGCTGAAAGCTGCACACTGGGGAGATGATTCCCAGTGGGAACAAAATTATTTGCAGCTCTTTCACACTATGGGGAGTAATAAAAATCAATAATTATAATAGGGAAATGTTTCTTAATTTAGGAGCTATAATCTTATTTGTCGGTTAACTCAAAATAAGAATTTGCTCACTGTTAGCCTTCAGTACTTTCAATGTAGCGTGTTGGTCCCCAGCTCAGTTGGTGATTCAAGATAGTTTTTTTTTTTTTTGTCCGAAGCAGTTCTTTATTGGTGTTGGAACAGGATCAATAGATTGGTTTCAGTCAAACCAAAACAGAATGAAGAAAGGTATTGGCAATAACTTGATGATCAGTTGGTGCAGGCTTTAGAACCATTGCTGGCTTCAACAACACACAAATTGTAAATATCTTTCAGGCGCTCGTGTATTCGGTTGCTGTTACACTCCAATTCAGTGTTATTTCCACAGTTGTATAACAACTCACAGACAGCATCTTAATTCGCACATTAAATTAATTCTCAGTTATCCAGTGACACAAAAACTGTGTATAGATGTGCAGTACGTTAAACTCATCTCTCTCTTTCTCTTGTTGTCTTCTGTTTCCAGGATCTGATGGCCAAAGTGCGAGCCATGCTTGCCACCTCCAAGACCTTCCAACCTCCCAATTCCTAAAGCGAGCATGGCTTTCAACTAGCCACAACAGCCTCAGCCAGTCAGTGAGCATTCTCCAATTTCCTGGAGATTTATTTGGCCTGGATCTGTTTCATCTCCCTGTGTTAATCTTTGATTCATTATTTCATCTCGATTTGAGCGCCGGCAGGTTCAGTTTGGCTACATTATGTCTTTTGCAGCATTGTCAAAGTGACGTAAAGGCAGTCAATGGGCTAAAATACCTGGTTTGACACGTGACCTGAGAAAACAGCTCATCAGCTGGGAGATCATGTCAGCAGTTGACATGTTTTGGTACAGGGAGAATCAAATGGAAATAATCCATATTTTATTTTGCATCTTGTTTTAAAACACTCTATTTTACTCCCACGTGCTGACAGTCATTCTCTGCAGCATACCTAAAGCTGCTGGAGGTCTTTATTCTCTCCTTCTATGAAGGATTGTGTTGTTTTGATAATTGCAATTCTCCTCCCTCATCTACCAATATCTGCTGTTTTCCTACTATGTCCTCCCCCAGCTGTCTCCAGCACCTCACCCTTCTACTTGAGAAGCCGTTTTAATTTTCTTCTCTGTACTTCAGCTTTAGTGTGTGGCCTTCTATTTCTGTTCTTGGTTTGTACTGTAATAAATTTAATGCAGAACAACTTTGTAATCCAAAGTGTCAATAAAGTTTCAATTATGATTTACTTGTGGCCCTTCTCCTTTTACTTTTTTTACCTTTTGGATTTTTGTGTGCCAAAACACAAGTTGTAAAATAGATTAAACTGTTTTCTTGATCATGAACTTCATTACGACACATTAGAGTCCAAATCTCAAGAACAAACTTCCTCCCTTAACAGTCCTCCTCTTCACTGTCCTCCATTTGGGGTACCCTGATACGATGGAAGAAATTATGTTTACTGCCCCCCCAAACCTTTACCTCTATTGACTGTAATAAGTTTCGTTCCACAGCAGCACTGCTGATAAACCCGATAAGCATAACAGTTCAGCTGATATCCTTTGGGTGTCTGCTGCTGCTGCTACTGATGATGATGCTGAGATGGCACTTGTGCACCAGTGCGCAGATAAACCAGGGTGCAGAAATTGTAAGCAGACTATCACAAGCTCATAAGGGATTAAATGTTCAGAAAGATAACCCATTCAAGGTCATGAAGAGTCTTAAAAGTAATAGATATAATGTGAAAATCAATTCTAGGACCAATAGGCAACTAATGAAGAGACCCTAAGGGGAGATATGGTCCTCTTTCTCCACTCTTTAAAGTTTTGCTACAGTATTCTGAACGCACTGGTGTTCTTCTGTTTGGTTAAGAGAAGTAAACACACCACTGCAGCACTGTAGCAAAATTCAATCAAACAATTCATTACTTTATTCTGGTTCTAAAGGTATGTTGGGTCAGGGATAGAGAATGGTTTCACCTGTCAGAGTGCTCAATAGATTTATGATGGCATAGCCTGATAGCTACTGTGGGGCCTAAAGATATACCAATACATCATCTAACATTTGTACTGGACTTCTATAGGAGTGCTCAACCAACTTTTTAGCCATGTGAATTAAGAGTTCCGTAGGTGCTTCTGGTTGTTTTAGGTCAAATGAGTGAATTATATTTTTCACACTAATTTACCATAGCAGAAACAGCCTAAACTGCAAGGTACAGCGGTGCATCATCAGCATAGCAATGTCTTCAAATGAGGTTACCCAGAGGGGCGTATAAGAGTGCAACCAAAGACTGTGGGAGATGGCTCCAGATGAGGTCTACTATTCTGATTCTGAATTAGCTGACGACTGATCATAGTTTACCAGACCACAACATTGACTAATGTGTCCTAACATTGTTGTGTCTGGATAACAACCCCTTCTTCAGAGTCAGTACAACTGAGAAGTCTGTTGTTTGCTGTAGAATACAATAAAGTGTGAGCAGAACAGCATTCACTTAGGAGGAGCTTCATCTGCCCGAGGGCTACCTTATATAAGAGCTGACATTTAAAATAGTAAAGACGGCCCATCCACTGTTCATCCTAAGGAAAGTCAGTGCGCTCTTGCCCTCAACAGTTTTTACGGATCCAATATCAAAAGCATCCCAACTGCTCCACTGACATGAAGGCTCTACAGAGGGTACTTCAGACCTCCTCTCGCTGCAGCAATAGTTAGTTCTCCATTTCACCATCAGGGAAGCTCTACATGAACATTAGGACCTGCACCAACAAAATAAAAAGCTGCTTTGAGCCTCAGGCCAGGAGAATGCTGAATTTGCCCTCCCTACTGACAAACAAACAGCTGACACAGTTGGCTTCTGGTATTTTTTTTTTTTTTTTTTCTGTTATTTTCCCACACTTTATTCACTTGTCAGTAACCTACTTAGTAAGTTAGAATTAAGAATTTGGAAATATGTATACGAGTTCACACACGTGTACCACATTTTACATAGTACCTGAACTGAATTTCCTACAGTAAACCTTAAATTTGCTCCCTTTTACGATGATTAGGCTTAAGTATTAGTCAGTCATCCTGTTCTAGTAACTGCAGCACTATTAACTATGCCGCATCTCATCCTCCATCTGCTGACTTGATGCATCTTTTATGTGTGTGGTGAACCTTCCACAAATACATACTTGCCTTTATCAAACTAGTAAAACCTTCAAAAAGTTATTTTCTCACAACTTAGACTCCTTAAATGTTAATCATCTGAATGGTACCATCACAGCACTCAGACTGAACACTGATTCTGGCAAATATTCAGTCTGCTTGATCTGATTTTAGGGACAGACTCCGACTCTAGACAGATTAAAAAGTTTCTGTTCTGTTCAAAGACTAGGACTGCTCCACTAGTAAGTACTGCAGAGGAATATGATTCATTGAATTTTGTTTGTTAATATGCCAGAGAAGTGCTGATTGAATTCAGTGGTTTTGTATTAGATTGCATATAGTTCAACAGTTCAATATTGTATGCACTAGCAGGGAGTTTATTTGAAGTTCATCATGAAAATTGCACAAATCTCAAATCTTTTTTTTTTTTTTTGGATAAAGTACCATAATTCACACTGCTACTAATTAGCATATAGATAATTCATATAGCAGTTGCAGTTATTCATAAAATAAAAGTGTAAATGAGTTCTGCTATGACTCAAGCTTTGGTTTAGCCTGCCAATGCAGTTTTGCACTGTTCGATAGAAGTAGTAGTTCTAGTTCTACAGCAACAGTTGTCTCATGATTCACGACAATTAAAAAGAAGTTAATTAGTGCAGTTATATGAAAAGAAGTGGAGTGGATATATTTAGAAAAAGCTCTTACTTCTTTCTCTTTAAATGGGACTTTTAAAGAGAAAATCAAAGAATCAGTCAATAATCAGCTAATTGAATTAAAATCATTAGTGTCTATTGGACATAAACACTTAAAGCCTCATTAGCCTTCCTAACAGACAAAAAACACTTGCAAAATCAAGACAGGACATGTTTTGTATAAAAAAAAAATCTAATAAATACATCTGTTGCTCACTATGGTTAATACCCAAACTCTCACATACAACATACCTTTTCACTTGTTCTGCTAACACTCACACACACACACACACACACACAACACACACAGACTTGTAGCACAGAATAGAAAGACTGCAGGCCAGATGGAGAGATTTGCCTCCCACCAGGCAACAGCATCTGATGGCTGAGTGTCTTGTAGTGCTGTGCCTGACCCACCCAGGTGGTGTTACTCTATCACAGACAGACCACACAGTAGTGACACTGTAGGTAAACAGCCAAGTTGACCACTTTAAAGCTGCTGGTTTCTGCTGGTAATTTTAGAGCCTTCAATTTACTTTTCTGCCTGTGTGTCTCCACTTTGGAGGGATAGAGCTGAACATGTGAGAGAAAAGGTCAAAACGAGGTCCAGCAATTTTTTTGGAAGCCAGCAAGAGACTTTTGCCAGCACTTTTTCTTTGTACGAGGGTTCTTCATGGCAAACGATTTTTATTGATTTCATGCTGGACTGTTGGGTAACTGCAGAGCTGTTTATAAGTATTTTAGAGGAGGTCCAAGTGATTTGAAACGGGTCCAAGTCATCGACTGAAGCATGTCAGTGAAGTATGAGTCTCAAGTCAGATTACAGGTCTTTGCAGGCAAGTCACGAGCCAGGTCTGAGTCGCTTTATGCAGAGATGAAAGGTCCCAGAATGCATTTTTAAAAACATGTATGAGATGCCATGTACCCCGAAGTTGCTTCAGGACAATCGTAATTTAATCACAATGACAAAATGCAGTAATTACATCGTATCTGCAACAACTGCAAAATATATGTAAAAATTTTGAATGCAGGCATGGCTACTGAAATAAACCTGTAAGCTTCTCCAACATTAGTAAAACAAAGATAGCAGCGTAATTGCTAAAACATGCTGACTATAAAACAAGAAGGAAACTATTAAGGGACTCATCTTATTTAGTTAATTGCCACACTCTTGGATAACAGGCCCAATAAACAAACACACAGGTTGTGTTTCTATGCAATGTCTTCCCTGGTTTGTCATTCACACCCTTTAAAACAGTGGTCTCTCATAGTGATGCCACAGGAGGAGATTGTTTTCAGGTACTACAAAGAACCTTCAGCCTATAAAAACTGCTTTGCACCTTACACTGTCAATGCTTTGCACCAATGTCTTAAAAGGATTTCATAAGCAGGTGTTTTCCACCTGCTGTCATAAACAACCGTTTCCTGCTGTGTGTGAAGTAATGTGACTTGTCTCATACTCTTTATCACATTAAAGTGTTCTCTGAGGACACATTTATGGCTCAAATCTTCCACATACATGGATTTTATTTTTATTTTTTTAATGGCATCACTGTAAAGAACCACTTTTGTTTAATTTAGTCCTTAGTATTTTGGAGGGTGTGCTTCCATTATCATAGATTGATCATTTCAGCACATTTGGGCAAAAACCATGAATAATACAAACTTTCTTATTGTTCCGGGTACAACAGGCAAATGATAAGACATCAATTGTAATCTTCAGTATTTTATAGAAATGAGAAACAGCTCTATGAATGACAAAACGGAGGGACTAGCACATAAATAAGAAATCTGTCAGCCATTACTGGATTATTTTATTTGTCAAATCAGCCGCATAGTCTTAAATTAGTTCTACAGATTGAGTGAGGGTTAGATTTAGGGTCAACTGTACAGTTTGGGAAAGGCAGGTGGACAAATGGACAGTATGCATTGCTAACTTCACACTAATTGCAACAATAATGGTAACAACAACACAGATTCATGATGTGAACTTCCCTGGGACTCCCTACCATCAATGGAAATGATGAAGCACCTCACATTTTAACTGGATGTTGTAGTACATAGATGACTGGGGCCAGACATGCTTCTCCACATTATAGAACATTTGTAATGAAGAGCCAAAGCTGCTGTAAATAAATCCATCTTTCGTGTATTACTGCAGAGACCTGTTAGATGAGGAACCTCCATGATACGTTTATGAACTGATAAATAAAATAAACCCCATTTTTTGGCATTGCTTATTCCTATCAGAGGGTCTTGCTTTGATACTGTACGACAGATGGGTCAAAAATTCAGTAAGGAGTTCATCTGGCCAATCCAGTGTGTTTGAGAAAAGACACTTATTTCATTATTTTTGCCCTTTATCTGTCTCTACAGCTGCAGAGGCTTTGATAAGGCAGGCGAGTGATGC